GTGAGCATCTTGTGACAAATGACTAAATGACAACTGTACACCCGATTCAGAAGCTAAAAGGCCTGAGACTCACTGAGCTACCAAATAAAGGACAGTGCTGCAGTATGAAGGGAGCAAGGCAGAGACACCAAGGTAGAAGTTACTGTCAGACCTTTATCCTTTTAAGGGCCATAACTTTCAAAGATAAAAAACCTAGATTCTTGGAAGGATCCTTGGTGGGAATAAACTATGGAGGGGAATTGATAAGAGCAAAAGAACTCAAGGTAGAGCTGAGGGGGCTTTTAGTGGGACCCAAACAGTGAACTACATTTTGAAGGGCTGACTGGCTTTTTATTGGTAACAAAACCAGCCATCAGTAAACAATCTCTGACAATGGGTGCAGGATGATCTCAAATTTGAGGACAGACTGGGGAATTTTGCAAGACCCTGTCTCAAGATAATAAAGATTTTAAGATTTAGTTCAGTGGAAAAGTATTTGCCTAGCATGTGCAAGCCCCTGGGTTCAATCCCCAGAACTGCAAGGAAAGAAGGGGGGATATCATCCATTCAAGATGGAGTTGTGCAGGCTTAATCATTTTAAGGAGGAAGATAGAGGGAGAGGGAGAAAGAGAGGGGGAGGAAGAGAGAAAAACAGGGGAAGAGGGAGGGGAGGAGGAGGGAGAATGTGAATGTGCACAACACCAGGGTGGCTGGAGGGAGGTCACCACTGCTTACACCCAACTCAGCTGAGGCTGAGCAGCCACATGCTCCTATATGAGGGACAAAGATAACCTGCTCACAAACTCAAGACAGCAATGGGCAGATAAGGGTTCCTTTTGCTTTTCCTTAGCCTTGCCCATGTAGGACCCATGTGTGGAAGAAAGATTCGGGAGAGGATATCACAAGCTTGGTCTCTGTACCCTCAGTTAATTTCTTCCTAAGTTTTGCCTGATGAGAAACTGAGGTCCTAGAGATAAAGCAAGATGCCTGAAAATTCCGCCATAACTGATCTTTGAGATGAGAAGCCTTTTTCCTAGAGTTCTAATTTGAGAACACTTTTGGAAGACCAACCAGCAGTCTAGAGGTAAATGAGGTCTTTTGAGATGAGTCTCTGCCAACCTGGAGGTACCCCAAAAGGAAAACAAAAAACTGAGATAAGGTGGCCCCTAGAAGGATAGAGGAACTGTGGTTTGCACCACATTTTACTCTAACAAGTAAACAGAAATTTCTGAACCAGAAATAAAAAGTTCCCTACCCTACTCCGATCTGCCAACAAGGCAACTTACAAGCCTTCTGTACTCTCAATGACATGATACTAGGAGTCTGTAAGTACAATCTTCTTTTTGTCCCTCTATATACCCTCCTGATAAAACTCAACCCAGTCCCCAGCTTTAACACCACGGCACAGGAAGGTCCCCCAAACACTCTCTAGCCCATGTGTAGCTGCCTGGACGTGGCCTCTCTAAACTCCAAGTCCTGAGTCTTCCCCAGGCCTGCTCCTTTCCCACAAGCTCTGTGTGAACTGTAGCACAGAGCTGCTAATTATCCAGTCCTAGAACATCCTCGTTGTCCTTCTTCCTCCTTGGCTTTTTCCATCCTCACAGACACTTGTCTCATAGTCTTGCCCTCTTTTCTATCCTTATGTCTCTGTGTGGGCCACAGAGGGCCCTCAACTGACCCCCAGTCTCAGTGTACCCCTTCATTAGCCCATCATAGCCACCACTGCCTTTCCACGCTCAGAAAACACAAATCTGATCAGATCACTGTCAAGCTACACTCCTGGAGGCTCCCACCACTCTCAAGGTAAAATTCAAATTCTTTTTTTTGCAGCGGGGGTGGGGTGGGGTACTGGGGATCGAACTCGGGACCTTGCACTTGTGAGGCAGGTGCTGGAACCACTGAGCTAAACCCCCAGTCCTAAAATTCAAATTCTTGAGCCTGGAACTTAAGGCTTTTCCCAGTCTGCTGCCAGGCTAGCTCCCTATCTTCCCTTCCCTGTCTTCCCTCAGACACCCAGAGCTACCCACTGCCCCTTTCTCAACAGATGAGAATGGGACATAAACCTGTTACTTCACACAAACTATCCCAGATAGATGTGGTAGCACACGCCTATAATCCCAGCACTGAGGAAGCTGAGGCAGGAAGATCTCCAGGAGTTCAAGGCCAGCCGGGACTACATAGCAAGATCCAGTCTCAAAAACAAAACAAGGGCTGGGGATTTAGCTCAGTGGTTTCACTGCCTGCAGGTGCAAGGACCCGAGTTCGATCCCCGGTACCCAAAACAAAACAAAAACAAACCCAAAACCCAAAATATATGCTGTCCCTCTGCTCAGAAATTTCTCTTCCTTACATGTTGTCTCTCCTGACCATTCCTCAAAATAAAGCTCAAGGCTTTCTCTGCAGCCCTGTACCCCTCCATACACGTGGTCCAACTGGACGCTGATGGTTTTTATCCACAGAAAATTCTTCCTACCTCTCTGAGAAGCGACTATCACTATCCCTGTCTCCTCACTACACTGTAAGCTCCCTGACGGCTGACAGCAAATGACTCACCACTGTGACTAGCACATGAAAATCTCACATGAAATCTGAACTCAATAAACTCATGCTGAAAGAACTGAGAAACTCATCAGATAATGAAATTAGGCTGGTTCTCAGTAAAAAGCCCAAAGTTCTATTTCTTTGATATTATCTCTGTTTGGAAGTTGACGCTGCAGCGACTGAAACTCCTGCTTCAAGTTGAAATGGGTTGCTTTCTTTCATTTACAAAGTTGTCATAACAGAAAAGGTATGTTCAATGCTCAAACAGGTAAAACATTGAACAGGGTAAATGTTAAGTGCTTTTTTACAACTTGCCTCATTGTCCTATGTACTTTAAACTAGAAACCATCCAAAAGTAAACACTTAAATATGTCTTCTGAGGTTGGCTCAGTCTCTAATGAGGATTAGGAGCAATACTGCATGCCCAAGGTCACTCTGACCTGCTGGACAGTCCAGACAGGCAAGGTTAGGGACAGCTAGCAAGGCCCATCTGCAGGTGAATTTGCAGACACAGGAGGTTTTATTATTGTTATGAAAAACCTGCCTACATTACTTCTGCATCCCAGGTCACCCTTAATCTAGTTGAAAGTTACTGTTTACTAGTTCACATCCATCACTCTGACACCACCTTGGTTTCAACAACCCTGAGAGATCCTCTGGCCCACCTCATGCCAGGCAAAAGAGGAACAAAAGTGAACAGAATGTGGCTCATAGGCTAAGACAGAATTCTAAATAGAACACTCACTACCTAGTACTTTCCATAAAGGCTTTATCTGACTTCTGAGGAGATTAGGTGAGGATCAATGTTCAGAATAAAAGGAAGTACAGGGCCAGGGATTTAGCTCAGTGGTTTTGTTGCCTGCTGCACAAGTGCAAGGACCTGAGTTCGATCCCTGATACCAAAAAAAAAAAAGGAAGTACATGCAGAAATCATACTCTAGCTATGAACAGTAACTGTAACAGCTTTGAGGTTTCTTGATCAGTTCTCATCTGGCTTGGTCTCTTCCTTAAAGTCAAAGAATCTGCCACTTATCTTCAAAGAAATTGAGCAAACATTTACAGATCTCTGGTACCAAAAAAAAAAAAATTTACAGGTGCCTACTGTGCCAGGGATAGAGTGAAAATGGAGCTCTTCTGGGTCAGGGATTTAGCTCAGTGGCACTGTGCTTGCTGGGCAAGCAAAAGGTCCTCAGTTCGATCCCTAGTACCGCACCAAAAAAAAAAAAAAAAAAGAGAGAGAGAAAAAGAAAGAAAATGGAGCTCTTCTTTAGCCTCAAATAGATGAAACGGGCACCTCCTGACATTTATGGTTCTGCAAACTGCTGAAAGTCACCTGCTGACCCTGGCGCAAACACACAGCAAAAGTGTTTTCATTCACCCTGGAAGGCAGGCAGACTTCCAGCTTTTCTAGACTTCTGCTAGGCATAAGCTGTTGGGGAAAGACAACACCACCCACACCACCCCAGCCACTAACAGCCAGCCTGTGTCACATAAAATCGAGGTGATTTAGACAATCTCTGGGCTTTAAAATCAGCCCAGCGAGTCCTCACCCAGGAGGCCTACAGCACAACTGTTTACACACAGCACTTGATCACAGAGGAGTCTGTGGTCAGGCCACCAGTACCCCTGCCTGGAGGGGACCCTGACAGGTATAGCCCAACCTCAGGCTGTGCCAGCGTTGCCCTCCAGCTGTGCTTCCTCACGGCTTGGGGAAGCACAGGGCCAGGGTCCTTGTTTCTACTTCCTAACGCATGGCCTGAACGAGAGCTGCCGGTGGACTAACAAAGGGGACTCCTTCCAGACAGGTCTCCAAGGCTGGGAAGAAACCTAGGCGTCAGGTAGGCAGGATGTCATGCTGAGCAAGTGATGGGCCCTGAGAAGCTTTACGTCTCCAAGAGCAGAAGGTATCAGAGCAAGTCTTGAAGAGGATTTCCTACCCGGCGGACGGCAGAAAATGCCTCAAGGAAAGATGACAAAAGGACACTCCTTTCCGAGGACACCTCACCCTGGGCTCGGAGAGCCGCGGCGGCGGAGCGGGGAATGGGCTGGCCGGCCCGAGGGTGGGGGTCTGCTTCCTGGGCCCACGTCGTGACCTCTGGGCAGCGTCGGGCTCCCGAATCCCTCCGACTTGTGCGCCGTCGCGGCCGAGGCCCCTAGCACGATTTGCTCTGTGGGCCCCAGCGCGGTGACAGCGGCGCCCCCCTGGCCCCACACCCGACCGCTACACCCCGCCTCCCGCCCACGAACCCACCTCCACGAGCCTCGCTGCTCGCCTCAGATCCAGGGGCGACGGCGACGACCCTTCTGCGCACGCGCACAGGCGGCCCCGCCCCTGCCGAGCACGAGCCACCAGCCGCCCACCTCAAGCGCCCCGTCTGAGCCAAGCTGGCTCTGGGCATGCGCACTGGCACTAGGAGGCGGCCACGGCTAGTGTAAGCTCCCGCGGAACAGCGATACCGGGCACAGGGGCGGGGGCTTACGCGTGGCGCCAGGGGGCAAGCTCAGTGAGGCGGTGCCTTGAGCATCCAGAGTTCGGGCAGCTGTCGGCTGGAGTCCCGGTCCTCCAAAGTCACGCGTGGACCGTGACCGCGCGCCCGCGACGTCTTATCTAGAGAAAGCGGGGAAGAGGCGCGCGGAGGCCTGGGGGCGGGTCCTGGGCGGTGGAGCCCTAAGGCCAAGGCTCGGAGACGGCGACAGACAGCGTTAGCTGTCCGGAGACGAGAGACCGGGACATGGGACACCTGACCGGCAGACAGGCCAGGACCGACGTGGGGACCAGAGACCCACTGAGTTTGATAGAGGCAGCGGTCCTCGTGCGGGAGTTCAACGCTCTCTGCAGAAAGCGGCGGATTTAAGTCTGGGGAGCAGAGTTGGGTCACCCACCCCATAAAAGTCCACAGGCCTCCATGGTGGCCTCAGTGCCTTTGAGGAGGTCAGCGCTCTCTGTCGGTCACAGCATCAGAAGTTTGAATCACAGTGGCCCTTGGGATGTTCTCAAAACCGCTGAGGGGGCCTGGCATCACAAAGGAGTTCAAAGCCTTATGGGGATATCGGATGTCAAGATGCCCCTTGTACAGAGCAGACAGAGAGAGAGAGAGAGAGAGAGTGTGTGTGTGTGTGTGTGTGTGTGTGTGTGTGTGTGTGTGTGTGAATTTGTGTAGGAGGTGGTTTATCATGGAAGCCTCTGGGTTTACAGCTGCCCCAGGCGCCTCCAAGCAGCTCTTCGGAGCCATCACACACCTCCAGTGCGATCCAGGCGTGAGGCACCAAGGGAGGGGGAATGTGGGAGCCCAGATGGCTGCGGGCAGACGCAAAAAGAAACTACCCAGCAGGCTGGTACGCAGGTGACCAAACGCTGCGTGGGAGCAGCGCCCCTCCCCCGCTCCCCCAGGGGCTCAAGCCGCTCCGCAGCGCCCCCGCCGCTCGCGCCGCTGCAGCCTTCGCAGGCGCCGTGTCCACGCGTCCCTCCAGGGCAATACGAGACTCCCACGGGCGGCGCTGAGCCCAGGTCCCCGGCCCCCCGCGGGGGCCACCGGCCCGCCCCCCAACAGCAGGTAGCGGCGGCCAGGAAGTAGGCGCGGGCAGCCACAAGCCGCGTCGCGAGCCGGCACCCAGAGCGCGTTGCTTCCGCGCCGCGCGCGCTCCTCGCCGCTCCGGAACACTGCAAGCACAGCCACCGGGAAGCGCGTCCACGCGCCGCGCGCCTCGCCGTGCGCGCTCACCGCCACCTGCACCGCTGCGAGGAGGACGAGAGGAGGCAACCTCAGGCGGGGCGTGGCGGGGGGGGGCGTAAGGCTGGGGGCCACAAGGAAAACTCCTACCCAGGACGCGGAGGACAGAAACGAGGGTGGGAAAAAGGGAAAGGACAGGGTCAGCGGCAGTGGAGGACCTGAGGGACAGATGGAGCTTGGGGGCCAGCAAGGGTAGGGAAAAGTTGGGAGAAGGAAGGTGAAGGGCCCAAGGTTGGGGGCCTGGGGGAGCCTACCATAGTCCTTCCGGCAGAACTTCTTCAGGCTGATTCGGTAGCTGCCATGGGCGGGTCTGCAGTGGGACTTGCAGTCTAGGGAGGAGGGAAGGAGGCTGGCAGATTCCCAGGCCCCCCTCCCCATCCCCTCTCCTTCATGAACTCATAGCTCCCTCCCCGAAGATCATACCAGTCTGGGACCCTGGTCTTTGTCCACTCACCCTGTGGCTCCACAGGGCTGCTGTCCTCAGTGGGTCCAGGGATGGGTGTTTCTGCAGAGAAGGTGGGAAAATGGCCTGCGATGGGGGTGCAGGACAATCTTCAGGCCTCAAGGGACAGATAGGCAACAACCAGGAGCTGAGGTGACTGAGGCAAGGTAGGGGTCACTCACTAACACAAGGTGCCACGGGTGAGCGGCTCTGCTGGAAGCCAAGGGCACAGCGGTTGCAAGTGAGGCCAGTGACACCATCCTTGCAGGGACACTGTCCTGTGGTCTGGTTGCAGGTTTTGCCAGCAGCACCAACAGGGTGACAGTCACAAGCTGAGGGCAGAGACGGGAAGGACTTGGTCAGAAGTCCACCTGGGGTCCTGGGAAACCAGAGTGTGACAGCATGAAGGTGGTAAGCTCACCTCTGCAAGCACGGCGGTCACTCAGAGAACGGTCTGGGTCACGATAGAAGCCCTCTTGGCAGTAGTGGCAGTGACGACCAGCAGTATTGTGCCGGCAGTTGAGGCAGACACCTCCACTTCGGTGGCCAGACAGTCGGTACAATTCCATGTTGAAACGGCAGCGGCGGGCATGGCCATTGCAGGAACAAGCTGTAGGGAGGGATGGGTCAGGGGCTGGCCTGCCTGGTCTGAGGTCCCCAAGCCACCCTCCAAGGCCTCACCAAGGCAGGCGTGGGTTTCCCTGGCCGTGGCCCGCTGCCATGGCCTGTCACAGTAGAAGGGCTTGCAGCGGCCGCAGTCAGGGCCCTCTGTGCCATGTCGGCAGTCGCAGATCAGGTGGCCCTGAGCATCCAGCAGGCACCGTGAAGCATGCCCATTGCACTTGCAGCGCCCGCCCACCTGGAGTTCAGTGGCTGAGTAGGAATAAGGGACTATTGCATCCAAGTCTCTGGTATCCCCTGGCACAGCAGGTCTTGTCAACAATATGCGGATATCTGTGGCAGTCACCCAGTCTTGGAGCACTGGGCTGCTGTCCAGATCCAGGCCTGGTGGGCTGCCATCTTGCACACTGAAGGCCATAAGGCCACCACCATCAGGCTGGGCCTGGAGTGCAGGGAAGCACAGGGCTTCAGGCCCTGGGCCACCAGAACCATCCAATGGAGCATGTGGACGCCCATAGTCCAGGGCACAGTGGGAGGAGAAGAAGCCCAGCGGAGCCCAGTTTCGGCCATGGTCCTGGGACTTGAGCAGGGCCACCGATGCTGGTGGGGCTGAGCAGAACCGAAGGCTCACAAAGACCAATTCAAAAGCCTTGCCCAGGGCCACTGTGAGAGTCACATTGAGGGGCACCCGCTGCAGCATGTCGGAGCGCCAACACACAGAGCTGGCCGAGCCTCCAGCCACGGTCAGGAGAGTGGCAGGGTGTGCCCGCAGTGGATCTGAGGCGTCGCAGGCCCGAGTGGCCGGCTGCCCGCACGTGCTGGACGCCAGTACCTCGCGGCCCAGGGCTGCGTTCACCAGGCCAGGCACGCAGCCGCGGGGCGCACCCCCCTCATCATAGCAGGGGTCAGCAGGCACCGGTGGCCCCGGGCTCATCGCCACCAAGAGCGTGCCCGAGGCCAGCAGCAGCACCGAGGGCCAACCAGGCATGGCCGGAGCACTGGGGATCAGCCAGCCGGCCAGCAACTCTGCCCTCGGGGAGGAAGAGCTGGTCCTAGACTTTGCCAGCCGGGCCTGTAATACGGTGCAAGCAAGGAGGCCCCGGCCCCAGCCCAGAGGTGGGAGCAGCTGCGGACCCGCCCCAGGCGGAGCGCGGCAGTGGAGATGTTGGCGCGTCCTCCCGCTGGGCCTGGAGCGTTGACAGGCGTCGCTCTGACTCCCGGTACCTCCGCCAGCGGAGGCCCCACCCGCTGCCCGCCGTTCGCACTCACCCACCGAGGGCCAGACAGGGCAGGTCTCCCGGCCTCCCGGGAAGAGCCGAGGACAGGCGGGGCCTGGTGCGCCCGGTCTGCAACCTCCTCCCGTCTACAGCTAGTGCTGGCGAGCTGTGCCAGGAGGGGGTGGGGGGCGCAGCAGTCGCGAGCCTGAACCCAACCAGGGGCGGGGCTGCTCCCGCCGGGAAGAAGGGAGGGAGGGAAGGGGAGGGGTCCTCTTCGGCACAGCGGGAATCAGAAGCAGATTCAGAGGTAGGCTGGGCCGGCCGGGGAGGGGGCTGGGAGGCCCGAGAGCCGGGGGAGGGGCTTGGGGAGCCTGGAATGCGTTGGCGGAGGGTCTGGAGGGGGCAGCCTGTGGGGGACCACCCAGCAGGGTCCCAGGCCTTGGCTGCTCTTGGGGTTGTGTGACAGTGCTGGGCTGGGGCTCTGGGCCACTGCTTCACTGAGGTCCATCATACAGGGAGGGCACTGGGTCCAATGATTGAGGTCTGGATGTCGCCTGGGTGGGGGGGCCAAGTGGGGCTAAGGGGTCATGTCCCCGAAGCTGCAGTCTGCTCTCCTAGAAAGAATCTAGGGTTGCGGTCAGGTCTGAGTTTGAATCCAAGCTGCACCAATTTCTGGCTATATAGCTTGAGTTCCTCAGTTTCCCCATTCACTAAATGTGTGATTCAGCTTGCTTTGTAGAGCTGCTTGAAGGATCTGATGAGCACATGTAGAAATCAGGTCCAGGGGCCAGGGATTTAGCTCAGTGGTTTCGCTGCCTGCTGTGCAAGGGCAAGGACCAGAGTTTGATCCCTGGTACCCCACCCCCCCAGAAAAGAAATCAGGTCCAAACTGGGAAATCCACTAGGGCGGATCTGAGCTCAGCTGGATAAGGCCAAATTTTTGTGCCAAAGCATCCCTGGATTTCAGAATGTCTAGTTTTGTCACCATTATGGGTCCAGAAGTGGGAGCTGCCAGAGAGGAAATGAATGCTCTGGGAGGGTGGTACAGCCCACTGAGTGTCTCCTTGGGTTTCAGAATTTGGTTGGCTCTTGAGAACCTGTATGGAAGGGTAGAGGGTGAGGTCTGACCCATGTGGAGGGGCTGGTCACAAATGAACATGTCAGAACCTTGAGCCTGCTGGCCCACATCCCACCAGGTCTAGGCAGGGAAACAGGCAGAAGCCAAGCTAGTGGCTTTGCCAACAGGCACTAGGAATCATTCTGGACAGAGAAACTCCCTTCCCTACCACCTTTAGGTCCTTGTCAGAGGGGGGCAAATATTTCAAGAAGTGTTGAGAGCTGGCCCCCATGTAGAGGGGGGAGGGAACCTCCTCTACACCTCACACCCCCAGAGCAGCTCTGATGCATGAATTCCCACAATTTTGGAAGGAAAGCTGACTCCAGGCCAGGCCTTGCAGTTAGCTAGTGGAGGAGGCCACATGGGCATGGCTCCATAGGCAGAGCTGCCAACCTGGGCCAGGCCAGAGGTGCTATAAAGACCAATAAAAAGAGAAAGAGAAGCAGAAGTGTTGTGCTAGTTGGAGAAGGGAGAGAAAGAGGACACTGTAGCCTTCCAGGGCAAGCCAAAGGGGCAAAGGAAGTAGAAAGGCCTCATAGTGATAAGTCCCTGGCTTGCCTCTTGGACAAACTGACTCCCCTAGCCCTAGCACTTTCTTGGGCCTGACAATACGCATGAAAGGATGGGGATGGGGATGAGCCTGGAGGACTAGAGGGGCTGCTGTCCAGTCTCTTCTTGTCTAGTAGCCATGACTGCTCTTCAGCTTCCCAATAAAATGAGTGAAAATGTCTCCCTTACAATAAACTGTTGTGTAGTTGGGCGTGGTGGCACGTATCTGTAATCCCAGCACTCAGGAGCCTGAGGTAGGAGGACAGCTTTGAGTTTAAGGCCAGCCTGGGCTACATAGTGAGTTCAAGACCAGCCTAGGGGCTGGGGATTTAGATCAGTGGCACTGTGCCTGCCTCAAAAGCAGTTCAATCCCTGGTAAAAATAAATAAATAAAAAGACCAGCCTGAATTACAGAGCAAGACCCTGTCAAAAAATAAAACAAACACCCCAATAAGCTGTTGTGGGCTTATACTCTGCTCTGGGATGGGTCATGTTCAGAACCAGTACCTTCCCAATCATCCTCTTCAAGGTCCTTGAAGACCTTTATCCAAAAACCCCACTGGGATGTAAGGATCCCTGGTGGGCACATAGGGGCTGAGGTCCATCATTTGTGAGCAGTAGAAAGCCCCAGGCCTGTCACAGGAATCCCACTGAGCTCAACAGTCCTCCCAGGAAAGCCAGGCTGTCCCTGGTCTTCAGAACCACTGCCAGAGTTCCTGGAGCCAGGTTTGTCTTCAACCTAGCCTCCCTGTGAACTGGGGTCTGCAGAACTTCTGGTGTGGGTAAAGTAGGTGCCTGTGGCTCAGTGCTGATCAAGTCAGCAGGGGAAAGAGGAGGCCATGGCCCACAGGGCCACTTTGTCACCAGCTCTTTGGTGCTGCAAATTCCCCTCCATACATTTACCCTCTGCACATACTCTGTTCAGGGTTCTCAGGGCTGTCACTCTCAGATAGTGTGATGGGAGTTGGAGAACCCCTCCCCATAGCCCACCGGTGAGGCCCATTGCTTCTGGTGGAGACAGCCACTTGTCTCAGCCCCTCTTATGCTGCTGACCTGTCCCATCTCTGCTGTACTCTTTACCTGCAACTCCTCAGGACATGCTACTACACCTCTAACTCAGAGTGACAGCCACTGGCTTGGAAGCACAAGCAGTGGGGAAATTTTAGAAAAGATAGAGGGCCATTGACTAATCAAGTAACTCCAGACCCAGGCCAGGGTTTATTGTCCCCTCCAAACTCCTCCCCCGCAAAAAACTCTTGCAAGCCACCACTTGGCCTCTTCTTGTACAAACATTTATTGAGGGCCTATTATGGCTCGAGAGGCCCCAGCGCAGAAGTCGAACAGTCCTTGCCCCAGTGGACAGTGGTCACGCCGGACCCATGTTCGTCACCCTGCACCCCAAACCAGGTGGGGACCCATGCTTGGAAGCTCCCATTCGCAGAGACTCCTGCCCGCCCTGCTCTCGGCTGGGCCTACTTTTCAGTGTCAACCGGCTCTGCATGTCAAGAGAAACGCTGAAAGGCAGTTCTGGGTGAAGGGAGGATATGAGCGGGCAGCGCAGGAACAGGCCCATAGCCCTCTCCGCCGGGACCTCCTAGGGCTTGGGAAAGCCATGGTTTAGGGAATAGGCTCCTGCGACTTGCTCGCGCATTGGAGGACGACGCGGCCCGGTGCCAGAGCTCAGAGAGTCCTCTGCTCCCGGGGCCCGCCACGCCCAGCCCTCCGAGACAGCCGCTGTGCGCGCCAGCACAGGAACGAGGCAGCTAGGAGTCCGAGGCCCACACCGAGTGCCGCCAGCGACGCGCCTTGGGCGAGGTCCAGGCGGGGTCCGCGCAGTGAGAAGGTGATAGCCGTGGCAGCAGCACCGGCTAGTAAGGCCACGGCGCCGAAGGGCAGGATGCAGCGCGGCCAGGAGTGCCCCGCACCGCCGGTAGCCAAGAGTAGAGTGCGCAGGGCCCCGGGAGAGTCTGGGGACGCAAGGCCCAGTGGGGTAGGCTCAGGAGTTGATAGCTCTGGTCTGCTCATGCCGCCGACGTGGTGGCAGCCCTGGGGGGGTGGGGGGGTGGGCGTGGGTGGGTTGTGGGCCTTCATCGAAGCCCTGGCTTGCGTCTGGGCTAGCCACGTTAGAGCCGATTGGCTTTGGATCGGGTGACGCCACCCAGGACGCCAGGGAGATCTGCTGCCACCTCCAGCTTTGGTGGGGAAACCCTTGCACTCACTGAACCCTACTTGGGGCCTATTCACAAATACGCCCTCACAATGCGGTTCTATCCGGGGCACCTCCCTCCCCGAGGCCCTTCTACACCCATGGTAATCTATAGGACACCTCCAAGGCCCTAGATTGCCCTCGAGATGAGTGGATTAAGTCAAGGATCATGGGCTCCAATTTCGCCTGGCCAGAGAGAGGTGAACAGTGGCCCTCTTCCTGGGATGTGGGATACAGGGAGTGCAGAAAATTGAGTTAGGAGGTACAGTGGCAATAAACCAAGCAGACCAGCTGATGAAATAACCTGGGTTGTTGGGTGTAGTGGCACATGCCTGTAACCCCAGCACTACATGGGCCGGGGATTTAGCTCAGTGGTTCTGCCACCTGCCTCGAAAGCGCAAGGTCCCAAGTTCGATCCCCAGTACCAGAAATAAATAAATAAATAAAAGGATCCCAGCACTACAGAGACTGAGGCAGGAGGATCACTGCCTACATAGTGAGTTCAAGACCCTGTCTAAAAAAAAAAGTCTCCAGGTAGGATGTCTGCTGTGGGAACTGACACTGTATAGTAATTGTGATGTTCAACCTGGGAATTACGGGGTTCTCAGTACATAAGTTCTGTAGGGAATAATGGAGTTGCCAGATAGGATTGGTTGGGTAATGGTGGCAGCAAGGCACAGGTGATATGGGGTGGTGGGTGCCAGCCTACCAGGATGGGGCAGGCCACAGACTCTCCTTTCTTGGATCACCATTTCTTGGGAGTTGCCCGAGGAGGAACCCCTCAATACAATGGGGGGGTCACAATTTTTCTTTCAATTTTTTTTTTTTTTGGTACTGGGGATCGAACTGTGCCCTTGCACCTGAACAGTGGAACCACTAAGCTAAATACCCAGCCCTCATTTTTTTGTTCTGGTTTTTTGACAATTTTTCTTTCAAGGAGAAACCCTTAGCAATTATTTTACAGTTGCAGAATGAGAGGCCCAGTGTGGTTCGTTTTCTATTTTGCACTGTCCTCTCATTCCTACTGACCCTCAAATCTGGGGCCTTCTGTCAGATGGTATTTCTGGCTGGCCTGTGAGGCTCTATAGCTGTCCACACAAGGGGCCAGTGCTCCAGCTCCAGAGAATGCCTAAGCAGTTGGTGATTGATAAAGATTCACATAAAGAACCCTAAGTACCTCAGCCCTAGGCTATCACCACAAGACTCAACCCAGTGGTACAGATGTATTATGCCACTAATATATACCAGTCCCACAGGGTAACTACCTTGTTTGATGGTGGTAGGGACAAACCTGGGAATTGAAGCTTAGAGTCCTAAAGAATCTTGCTGAAAGTCAGAAATAACACATGATGTAAACCCAAGCCTGGGGCTGCAACCCTGACCCCCACCCTTTATTGCCTTCCAGGGATGGTGATGATTCTTTTCATAGGGGATGGGGAAGTCTCAGAGGAGGTTACAATGGAGTGGGAGGGGGCAAATGGCATTTCCTCTGAAAGAGGCTTCAGTGGCCAGCCACATTACCTGCCATAGAATTGGTGTCAGGAGGTGGTGGGCACAAGGCATCAGGAGTCAGTAAGGAAAGAGCTGAGGTGGCTGTGGGCAGAGTGACCAGCCTATTTTCCAATGTGGGTTTATGACTTTTTGTCTTTTGGTAAACCCAGTGCAACTCTAGGCACTTGGAAGAGGAGGCTTCAGATATGCTGAGACAAAAGCCCACCTCAAGTATCCTTGCCCCTTCCCTTATGTAGAGAGAGTCATACTTTTTTTTTGTACCGAAGATCAAACTCAGGACCTTGTGCTTGCAAGGCAGGTGCAGTGCTGCTGAACTAAATCCCTGGTCCAAGATTCATACTTTTTTTTTTTTTTTTTTGGTACCGGGGATTGAACTTGGGACCTTGTGCTTTCGAGGCAGACGGCAGAACCACTGAGCTAAATCCCCAGCCTGATACATTCTTGATTAATAAGAGTATAAAGAAATAAAAAGTACAAAGGATTCTCTACCAAATTCTACTTTGGTATGATTTAAATATACTTCCTAAACTAGTAATTTTAATATACAACTAGCTCTTAGATCTTGCCTCTAGAGAGACAAAAAAGGCCCCCACCCCCCACCCCAGGCATCTGGGCTCCAGGGAAGCAGAAAGCTGAGCCCTGACCAGCAGGTTTGGCCATAGTGAGAAGAGGTAGATAGGGCAGCCCACTCATTCCACCTTGGACACACAGTGAGGTACAGGTCGCTGGATCAACCAAACCAGAGAAATTCTCCACAATCTCAGTTTACTTTACTCCCACCAGGAGGGGACTCTTTCTGAAAGGCTTTCTTGCCCCAGGGTGCCAAGACCTGGGGTGCAGGCTCAGTCAGCAGGGTCTTCTTGCAGGATTGTAAGGAAGCGTTCACCTCCCTCGCAGAGTAGGCTGTGGGCAGCCCGGCACAGCGCCAGCCAGGGTGGACCCCGTGCCTCCTGGGTGCTCACCATGGGGAGGAGTTCAGCCATCAGGACCTGGGAGCAGTGTAATGCTATGGTTTTAGTGGGGCCCTGTTCCAGCTGCTAGCCCAGAGCTCCAACAGGCCGGAAATCCTGGGACAAATTTACATGGTACGGCCTTCCCTCCTAAGGCACCAAAGCATCCAGGGCATGCATCCATCTGGAACCCTTCCCAGCTCACAGGCAGGCTGGGGGTGCTTAGTTATCCCAATGATTCCTAGGAGAGGAGCCCAGTGACCCCCTCACCCAGGGTTTCCTTTTCTTGAGGTGGGCCCTTTTGGGCATAGTGTTGGCTCCCCAGGTGGGCAGTACACATCCTCTCACCTCTGCTCTACAAGTACCTTTTCCAGGTGGATCTGCTGCTCCAGCATGGCTACCCGCAGCCTGAGGGTTGCCAGGGTCTGCAGCTCTTGGGTGTTGGAGTACAGAAGGAGCTGGGGACCCCATGAAGTACATACTCGACTACCACAGGGCAATGAGGCCTGGAGAGGCCTCCCCATGAGACAAGGTCCTGGCAACTGTTCTGTCAGAGCTGTAAGGACCAGAGGACATGGCCTTATTGGGTGGTAGCCATGTCCAAGTTCCCACATCATTTCAGCCATGAGAGGGGCTCTCCCTGAGAGGCTTGCCCACCCCATGGTCCCAAGCCTGCCTTTCCAGGCACCCACTGTTCCCCACTAGCTCACCTGGCTTTTTCTTTCGCTATTCTGGAGATTGAACCTAGAGAGCACTGAGCTACATCCCCCTCCACATCCCCTCCCCACTCTTCTTTTTCCGGTATGGGGGATTGAACGCAGGACCTTGTGCTTGCCAAATAGGCATGGTGCCACTGACCCATATCCCTGGCCCTACACATCCCCCTTTTTTGACAGTCTCTGTAGGTAGTCCAGGCTTGTCTTGAACTTACTATGCAGCCCAAGTGGGCTTTGAACCTGAGGCCCTCTTGCCTCAGTCTCCTGGGTTGGGTGCTGGGATTATAGGTATGTACCACTCTGCCCAAGTTTCTTCCTTTTTATTTTATTTGGGTATAGGGTCTTGCTAAGTTGCCCAGGCTGGCCTCAAACTTCTGATTTCCTCTTTCAGCCTTCTGCATGGTTGGGATTACAGCAGTGTATCACCAAACCTGGCTTGTTTGCCTTTACAGGGTGAAAATCTGGGCTTTCAGAACAGCCTTGTGTGTGGCAGTGTGGTGGGCCAGTCTGAGGTTGGTGTTGCAAGGACAGACCTTTGTGGGGTCTCTCTTTACCTCCTGGGCTTCTTTTTTGTTTTTGCAGACAGGGTCTTGTTATATGATCCAGGCTCACCTTGAACTAGCTTAAGGAGCCAGGTTAGCTTCAAATTTACCATCCTTCTGCCTCAGTTTTCTAAGTGCTGGGATTACAGGTATGTGCCATCACATCTGGCACTTGAGTTTCTTTTTCTTTTTGCAGTACCAGAGATTGAACTCAGGACCTTGTGCTTGTGAGGCAGGCGTGGTGCCACTGAGCTAAATCTCCAGCACCCCTGGGTTTCTTTACTGTGCTTATGTGTCACTTTCTTGACCCTGACTTTGTTTTTGACAGATGGTAGATCTTCACTCTTAAAATTGGAAGCAGTTAAAAGACACAAAGGAGCTGAGCATGGTGGTACACAACTGTAAAACTAGCTTCTCCAGAAACTGAGGCAGGAGGATTTTAAGTTTGAGGCTAGCCTAGGCAATTTAGCAAGATACTCAGTCAGATTAAAATAAATAGGGCTGGGGACATAACTCGGTAGGGTACTTACCTAGCATGCCAAAGGCTCTGAATTCAAACCCTAGTACAGGAGAGAGAGAAAAAAAAAGCAGCAGCAAAGGAGAAAAGCCCCTCTGTTACCCTTTAAGTACCTGAGTAAATAAATTGCTCAGTTTGGTGAGGTTCTGTCTTTTAGGAGGGTAAGGGAGCTGTTCTAAGCAGGTAAGGATGGCTGACTGGTCCCAAGGACAACTGGTCACAACCCAGAACACTGTGTACCAGGTTAGGGGGAGGGTGAAGGTGCTTGCCTTTAGTGTCTGGGCTGGTCACCCACCTTTCCTTAAGACAAGTGGAAGGTGAGGCTAAAGTGCCCTGACTCTGGTCCAGACCTTGGCATAGGGACAAGCCTCACCTGCACACAGTTCCTGCAGCTTATGGAGACACTGCCCAACCATGGCCTGTAGCCCCTCCAGGGTGAGCAGGCATCGGTACTCCTGCATCCAGTCTACGGGAGCTACACAACAGGAAAGGCAGGCTGGATCCATGCTGGTCCAGAAACCTGCCCTGCAGACCCCTTTCTCAAGCTCCAGTCTAGGCTGCTGACCTGCTGAGAGCTCTTCTTCCATGCGCAGTCTCAGCAGTGCACAGGCTTTCTGCAGGCAATGAACCTCCATTTCTACCTCTACGGGACTGAACCTGGAGCTGGATATGCTTGACTGGATATGGGTCAGGGAAACTCTCCTATGGCCAGACCCCACACTCCCACCAAGGATGGGGTCTGGAGAAATCCCATGGCCATCCCACAAAGGAACCTCCTGGGGCTGCTCCTCAAACCTGGCAAGTTTAGAATAGGAAGCCATCAGGTTCCCATAGTTCCAGCAAGGATACAGCCATCTGCATTTTCTGGAGGAATTGGGTTTTGGCATCACTGGTGGCATCTGTGGCATCACTGGTTTGTGTGGAGTTGAGCTGCGTCCACAGGCTGAGATACACACCAGGGCACCCCAGGAAGAAAGGAGAGGCACAGTTATTCTAGTCAGTTTTGCTGGGCATTGGGAGGAAGGTGAGGGGCAGGGTAGGGGCCCCAGGCTGGGGCCAGCAGGGGCCTCAAGGGGCACTGGGGAACTTAAAGGACACTGACCAAAACAAGGGGATAAGGGGACAAAGCCAGTTAAGGAAATACTAAGAGAAAGAACAGGGGTGGAGCTCAGTGGTAGTGCTTGTCTAACATGCCTAAGGCCCACTTGGGTGTGTGTGTGGGAGTACTAAAGGATAAAGGAATAGGCAGTGACTAATTACTGTGACAGGCAAGAGAACTATATGCTTGCTCTGTATTAGGCATAGTGCAAACACCTGAAAGGCACCACCTTAACCTTCCATCCCCAATACCTCTGTGAAGCTGAGCCTATTGTTGTCTCCAGAGGGAAGACAGACTGGGGCTTGGGGGCACTAAGTGTCATGTTCAGGTCTCACAGCCTGTGAGTGGTTGAGTTGGGGGTCTCAAAGCCCCCTGAACCTGAGGCAACCATAGCAGTCCTAGCTGGACAGACTGAACAGACAGTGACAATGCCTAGTAAAGAAACAGAGGGACCTGCTACAAAGTTTTGCTTGTATGTCTCTGAGCTGGTGACATTTTTCCTATGTCCTTCTGTCCCCATCTAGCCTTACCAGGAATTCCGGTAAGCCGCCTTCCTGAAAGCCATGGGCAGCTGCAGCAGGGTCCTATCAGAGAAACCAATGTTTAGACTACCCTTATCTTACTTTAGGTGCTGCCAGTCCTGTTTCCTGCTCATATCTCGTTAGAGGTAAGGCTCTTTACGCTCTCCTCAGTCTCATCCCCCAACCCTTTGTGGTCCTGGGGATTGAACCCAGGGCCTTTGCACTGAACTATATCCCCAGCCCTTTTTATATTTTATTTTGAGACAGGGTCTGGTTAAGTTGATAAGTTGCTCAAGTTAGGCTCAAACTCACAATCCTTCTGCTTCAGGCTCCCCGAATGCTGGGATTACAAACATATGCCAACACAAGCACTCTTGCAAGGGGCTTCTAGAGTGGCCTGGGAATTGGCCCATCCCAGTACTGCCTTGGCAGAGAGAGGAGAGGACACTATAGCTTGGCATGGTGGTGCATGCTTGTAATCCCAGCACTTGGGAGGCTGAGACAGGAAGATCACTGTGAGTTCAAGGCCAGCCTGAACTGCACTGTGAGACCCTGTCTCAAAAAACAAAACAAAACAATGAGTAGAGCCCAAGTGCTCCAGGGCTCATGTGTAGCCTCTGAGCTGGGTGGATACAAGTATATATGGTGGGGACAGGGCAGGTCAGGCTGCAGCATGTCAAACCTGATACCATCCAAGCCATCTGCTCCACTCAGTCAGCAGCAGAATATAAGACTCATGGGGTGGTACCCAGTTCTGCCACATCCAGTTCAATGTCCTGCCCTCTCTGTACCCCAAGCTCCAGACTCCTGTTGTTGGCAGGGATCTAAGCAGTTAGAGACAGAAGTTTCTCCAGTGAGTGTCACGGAAACCTACCCCTTCTCCTTGAGTGTGAAGGTTTCTGCTGCATGAGGAGTATCTGACAGGGTCATTTGTTCCCTGTGGCTTGGTTCAAGCCTGGTCACTTGGGCTCCTATTCGCACAGCATGAGACTTGTCTCTCACCAACAGAAGCCTGTGCTTTGGGTGGTCCTTGGCAGGCACTGTAATCTGGTGAACGCCCTTGGTAGGTCTTGTCCTTGAAGAACAGTGGCCAGGCTGGCTTGAAGCCTGGGGTAGGGCAGAGGCAGTGCTGCCAGGAGATGCAGCAACGGTCCCAGATTTCAGGCTGGGGGTTCTGGATTTTTTTCCAGTCTTAGAGACGCCTTTCCGAACCTGTACAGCTTTTTCCAGTGCCTGGGTCAGAAGCTCCAGGTCCTTGAGGTCTTGGGGGCTTGGTGTGCACGCTGTGAAAGCCAAGAATCATGCAAAGGTTCCTTCTCATGGTCCCAGAACGGGTCGCTTAACACTGCACGCAAGAGACCAAGGGCAGCATCTGAAGAAGGCGGGTGGCTTACCTGGAGAAGGGTCCTCTTCCTTAGTTTCTGACCCAGGAGGTGGGTCCAGACCCGTAGTCCCGGCTGGCTCCCTGCAAAAACAGGGCAGCCATGGTTCAAACAGACCCCATCTTACAGCAACCCCACAAGCCTTTGAAACTGCAGTGTAACCGGGATGGCACTGACAATCAGCATCGCGGAAGTGGGTGGATGGACCTTGCCTCCCAAGCCCTGAGGCTTCGCAGGATTTCAAGGATACAATGGAGGTCTGGGCAGGGGATCCTGGGATCCATATACCAGGCCTGCAGCAGCCGCCGGGAAATGCGCAGGCTCCGCTCTAGCTGCCTCTGTCGCTCTGCGCAGGCGTCTAGGGCACCCTGAAGCTCAGCCACCAACCTGGGGGAATATACCGACGGCTCAGCAACTCAGCTGGGACCAGGCTTCGGGCCGGCCGCCGTCCAGCCCCGACCCCATCAAGCGGAACTTACCGAAGGGCACAGTCAGATTGCAGCATGATGGCCTCTCCCGCTCCTGGAGCTTTGCAAAAGCTAGTTTCACCCCTTCCGCATAGGAGACCGCCCCTTCCGGCAAGGCCACCCAATCCCGAGGCCAGCACTCACTCCCGCCCACTACAGACTCCCGCTTTGACTTGGAATTCGAAGCAGCAGCGAGGAAGACCTCAGGCGACTGACAGGCTTCTGGTTTGGATAATCTGATACATGGTGGCATCACCTGGCGCTCCCCTTGCAAAACACCTTTAATCGTTACGTTTGTCTTCATCTGTCCTTGTCGAAGGCACTCTAAAGGAGGGATGAGCTGTCTTGCTGAATCCAGTGCCACCTTGCACTGGTAAGACTGATGTGTGTTAGGATTAGGAACGAGGGACAAGTTAAGGATTCATTTTTTGGAAATACCACGAGGTGATGACATCCAGGAAAGTGTCAGGCACAAGGATAGAGGGGTATGAAGTTCAGATCCAGAGCAGGAGCACATGAACAATCGGCGTGGCAAGATGGCTCAAAGTGGCCGTGGTCCGACCGGGAGGAGGGCGGTGCAGTCTCGGCGGCGCTGCGGGGACTTCCGGGACAGTTCTCCCTCCCCAGGCCTCCCCCTCCTGCCCTCTTGTGTCCTCGCCTCCTAGGCCTCTTTTATCCGATACCGTGGGGCGAGGTGAGAGCAGGCCCGGGGAGGATGATCACGCTGAGGAGCCGCAGTCTCTAGCAAGATGGTAGAAGTCCTGGCAACAACTGACTCCCAGAAACTGCTACACCAGCTGAATACCCTGTTGGAACAGGAGGCCAGATGTCAGCCAAAGGTCTGCGGCTTGAGACTAATTGAATCTGCATATGATAATGGCCTTAGAATGACTGCAAGACTGAGGGACTTTGAAGTGAAAGATCTTCTTAGTCTCAGTTTTTTGGCTTTGATCCGGAGACATTTTCTCTAGCTGTGAATTTACTGGACAGATTCCAGTCTAGAATGAAGGTACAGCCCAAGCACCTTGGGTGTGTCGGACTCAGCTGCTTTTATTTGGCTGTAAAATCAATAGAAGAGGAAAGAAATGTCCCATTGGCAACTGAGTTGATCCGAATAAGTCAGTATCGGTTCACGGTTTCAGATTTGATGCGAATGGAAAAGATTGTATTGGAGAAGGTGTGTTGGAAAGTCAAAGCTACCACTGCCTTTCAATTTCTACAACTCTATTATTCTCTCATCCAGGAGAGCTTCCCATTTGAAAGGAAAACGAGCCTAAATTTTGAAAGACTAGAAGCTCAGCTTAAGCCATGTCACTGCAGGATCCTATTTTCTAAAGCAAAGCCTTCTGTGTTGGCCTTATCCATCACTGGATTGGAGATCCAAGCACAGAAGTGTGTAGAGTTAACAGGAGTAGAATGTCTTCAGAAACATTCCAAGATAAATGGCAGAGATCTGACCTTCTGGCAAGAGCTTGTATCCAAGTGTTTAACTGAATATTCATCAAACAAGTGTTCCAAACCAAATGTTCAGAAGTTGAAGTGGATTGTTTCTGGGCGTACTGCATGGCAACTGAAGCATAGTTACTATACAATAATTCACCTTCCAACAATTCCTGAAACGGTTTCTTAGTTGGTAATTTTGGTTGCTATTCTCTGTATAGAGAAAATTGTATAATTTTCTTCTACAACTGAAATATTGAAATATTATCTTCAAAATAAACCAGCTGGACTTGGAATAGCAAAAGGGAAAAACTGGTATCACCAATCTAGTCATCTAATATTTTAAGACATTTGCTATATATAAGGTACAATACCCTAAGGGCCGGGCATGGTGGTTCATGCCTGTAATCCTAGCACTTGGGAGGCTGAGGCAGGAGGATCGTCATATGAGTTTCAGGCCAGACTGGGCTACATAGTGAGTTCAAGTTCAGCCTAAATTACATAGCGAGACCCTGTCTCAAAAAAACTTAAAAAAAAAAAAAAAAACCTTAGGAATTTTCCAATCTCTGATATATATGTTAACCATTTCATTAAATTAGCAGCTTAGAAAACAATGTCCTCTTTAATAATCTGAATTTTTAAGGTAGTGCTAAAGTAATGCTTTTTTAATTGCACATTTTGCTAAATGTAGCCCTAAGCTTTAGCTCATTTAAAAGTTACAATAGGACCAAAAGTTTGATCCACATATGAACTAATTAGAGACTGTTAGCTTATAAGCAGAGAATCATTATGAACTTGAATGTTACACCTAAAGAAAAAGTAATACAAAGCAGATGATTGCTTTTGGGTTTCTGAAAATTGCCAGTATATCTCAACATACTGCTACTGCAATTGGAGTAATAGAAAGTAATTATATTCATTAAAAACATAAATTCAGTCACTGCATATATTCCATATGTTCTTGCCATCTAAATTTATTAGCTTACAGTAATGATTTATCTTTTCCTGCTCAAAACTGAATGTTAATATTTAATACATCCACATATGATTATGAAACTTGGGCATGAAAAATTTACTTTTAACAGCTAGTAGTATTTAGATAAACTTTTGCTAAGTTGGGGGTTTTTGTTCTTTACATAAATAGTATTGCAGCAACAAAAAAATTTCTTTGAAGCCTTTCTCCACAACCCTGAACTATGGACTCCATAATGTTATAATTGATTTAAATTGTGAACCCTAGGGCCAGGGATTTAGCTCAGTGGTGCCACAGCCTGCCTCGCAAGCACAAGGGCCTCAGTTCGATCCCTGGTACCAAAAAACCCACAAAATATTGGGCCAGGGATTTAGCTCAGTGGTTTCGCTGCCTGCTGTGCAAGCACAAGGACCCGAGTTTGATCCCTGGTACAAAAACAAAATAAAATTATGAACCCTCAAAACATCACAACTAGATTAGTATGGTGTTTTCCATCTTTGGAAAACTGCCTAATTAATATAATGCTGCAGTAAGATTGTTTAGGTTGAATTCATCTGTAAAGCTAAAGATATAAATGTGAAACAAGCCTGAAAGGGTGAACTGTGAATCTTCTTTTCTAACATTAATTTAACTTTCTATACTGGATCAATGTATTATATTTAGGTGACTTGGAAAATGGTAACCTAAAATTTTAAATTATGAGGTTTACATCAAAACCAACATTTCACACATGCACTTTTTAAAGGCATAAGGTTATATTCTAGATAATGTAATGGTTTCTTGGTACCCATAAGTAGTCAAGTCATAGATAGTTCAGAGATGAGAATGTTACATTTGGGAATTACATTTACATTTAAAAACATTTTGTATTAAGCCAAAATGCAGACCTACTAAGTTTGGCATATTCATTGAGCTATCTTTAATGTTTCTTCTAAAAAACAGGTGACATTTGTAACAATGGTAAAAATTTCTATACAGAATCTACTTCCTCAGTCTTATCTAGTTCCATTTAAAAAAAAAAATGTTCTATTATATTATATAGTTAAGTCAAAATCAATTACCACTCTGAAAACTTGCTTTACCCTAAGTTCTGGCTAGATAAAGCACTCCAAGTTTTACTATGGACTGTTTCTATAAAACTCCCATTGCTTCCAGTTTTGTTCTGTTTTATTTTTTTAAAGAACAGAATATACTTTCACAAATTTCCATAATGTGTCTTAAGAAAAGGAGGCACTGCCATAATTATGAGATTGCTGAGGTAGTGTTTGGAATTCTCCATATGAGCCAATCAATATAAGGAAATGTACATATATTGTTAGTGTTGTAAACAGTGCAGCCTGAAGCCTGAATCTATCCAGAATGGATGTAACCAATTTTAACACCATATTACAGATAACTAAGCATTGAAAAATAAACCAAAGAACCACAGTATATTCTACCTTTAACTTTTTGTAAATCATGTTTTGTGGATACTTTCAGTTTTACCATAAGGCTGATATATTTCAATATTTTGAAAATATTAGTATTAATTTTGAGTTGGCAGAGGTAACCTAACCAACTACCTTTGGTACTAGTACCTTTGGTACTACCTTTCAATAAAATTATTGAAATGCAAAAAAAAAAAAAAAAAACGATGGCTCAAAGTGGGATGTGCGGACTGGACAGAAGCCCAGAGAACTGACAGGAAGGGTAACAGTGTGGGTCAGGAATGTTCTAGGAGGGGGCCGTGGGCGAGTACTACTGCTAGGGTCTGGGCAGTGTCCATGATGGAATGAAACCTAGGCCTCAGTGTCTCAGGGGACAAAACTACGAAGGACCTTGGATAGAGATGCTGCTAGAAGTGAGGACAGCAGGTCAAGTAGAATTGAGATAACAGAAATAAACGATGAATTCAAACCCCTAAAGAGGCCAAGAAATCTCACGTGGGAGCTGGATGACCAGCCTTGGCTGGGGGCAGGGCTAAAGTATGGAGAGGGGTTAGAAGACCTGGGGTTGGGGAGCTGAGGGTGCCTGGCAGAGCAGGGGAAAGGGGCTGGGACCCAGGTAGCACGTGTAAAGTAGGAGAGAGGAAAGCTTTAAACAGTACTTAGGAGAGCCAAGGAAACCCTACAGTAGAATCAGGTGCTCCCAGGTGTCCCTGGAACGCTTTCCTTCTACAGGTGCAGGCTGAGAGAAGGCAGAGAACTAAGTCCATCTGGAGTGGAGATGTTGATTCGAGAGACCAGACAAGACTTGAGACAATTAAGTAAGGAGCTATCACTCATGTGCCACTGTCATTACATTTAATCCTCACAACACCCCTGTGAGGTAGGTATTATTGCCTCATCTTACAGATGAGGAACAGGCTCACACACACCCAGGGGCACAAGGCTGACAGGACAAGTCTACAATTTCAATGCTTGGGGTCTCATCCCCACCATGCCCCAGCGAGGATGGTTAAAATTCTTACAGTAGCAAATCAGCTGCCCTGGGGATATCCACATACACACAAGCACACAGCAAAGTAAACACTGAGTCAACTTCCCCCCCATTCCCTGTACTTCTGGTTCAAAAGTATTTGGGGACATTCCTGGCCAAGTGGCTGTTATATTGGAGAGGAAACAAGAGTGTACCCTAGCAGAGCTGATGTGTCAGTGGTTGGTCTTCAACACACTCCCCAGGCAGTTTGGGCTGCTTCCTCTGCTTCCAAGGGGTTCATGCATAGTGCTCTACCACTGGGCTATATCCCCAGCCCTGTCACTTTTGAGGCAGAGAGCCACCTTGATGGCCAAGAAGACAGGGATGGCGGGTAATCTGCTTTTTTTTCCCCATAGAATCCACAGATCCGCAGTTGGGATCAGATAAAGGCAAACCCTCTGGCTGCTCTTCTGCCTCAGTTCACCTCAGATATTACAGATGACTTGAATTTTTTTCTCTGGGAAAAATCTTTATGCATAAAAAGTGCTGAGATAAGAGGTCGAGGTGGTGCATACTTAGTCCCAACACTCCGGGAGGCTGATAAAGGAGGATCACAAGTTCAAGCCCAGTGTGAGCAACTTAGTGAGACTTTCTCAAAATAAAAGATTTTAAAAATTAGGGATATAGGGCCAGGGATTTAGCTCAGTGGTTTCGCTGCCTGCTGCACAAGCACAAGGACCCGAGTTCGATCCCCGGTACCAAAAAAAAAAGTTAGGGATTATAGCTCATTGTGCAGGCCCTGGGTTCAATTCCAGTACTGCAAAAACCAAAGAAACAAAAACAAAACACCCCAAACAAATAAACAAAAGTAAAAAAAGTACCACGATAGCATGGAGAGGCTGGTGTCAGATTTTCTTTTTTCAGTTGAGCCTACATAATGTTGGGAATGTCTTATTTTTTATTACCCTCTATTTTATTTTAATTTTTTGGTACCGGGGATCGAACTCGGGTCCTTGCGCTTGTGCAGCAGGTGGTGAAACCACTGAGCTAAATCCCCGGCCCCTACCCTCTATTTTAAATGTTAACTTTGTTTTCATCTTGGAAGAAATAAGTCTAGAAATAAAGGGAAAAAATGGCCCAGAAATTTAGTGCAAACAGAATTGTTCACATGGACACCACAGGGACACAGACAAACACTCCAGAGAGTGCCAGAGGAAGGAAGTATAGTCCCCATACCTAGTGTTCAGGGCACGGTCCACAGATATGTAGGAACACAGGTTCCCTCACATGAGACCCACTGCCCAAAAGGGAGTGGATATCTGCTGCAGGCCGAGATGGGTGAGGGGAACAGCAGTGAGTACCCACGGAGGCCAAAACCATACAAGATACCAGACAGGGACTCAAGCTGTGCCAGGCTACACAGGCCACGTGTTGTGTGTGAAAGCTGTCAGCTCCTGGCATGGGGCTCAGTGGGACTGAGAAGACCAAGACAAATACAGTTTTAATCTTCCAGACAGTGGGACACAGGAGGTACAGAGGTGGGCTTCACATGGCATGCTATGACTGCTTTGAGGCTAAATTTTCCAAAGAGGAGTTGAGCTTTTCACACTGATTTGACATTCTGAGGGCCAGCCCAGGAATCTCCTAGAGAGAGACTCGATACCCACAAGTTACCCCTCTGCTCTGTGGAACTGCCCCCAGATCTACAGTCTTTACCTGTAGTACCCCCAACCCTCCTAGCAGAGGAGCAGCCTTCCTCAGTAAACAATCACTGCAGCACACATACTAACACACTCACAGCTTTAGGAAGCCCAAGTTCATGTCCTCATCACTATGAGTGGATAGATTTTGCCGTTTCACTTGTCGCTGGGGAAGAGTACTCTCTAGGGAGTTTGGGGGACGACACTGTAAACATGACTTCTTGGCTTGATGGTGGCAGGGAGGTGTGTTTGAGTCGCTGCCCAGGGACAGCACTGAGGTAGACTGATGAGGGTCCCCTGAGCCTCCATCCACAGAGTTTGTGAGACTTGTGCTACTGACAGAGGAGTACCCTGAGGTTGTGATGTCCTTGCCGGGCTTCCTCCAGCAGAGAAGAGGCCTGGGCCCTGGAGTTGGAGGTGTCTGAGTGCCTGGCGTCTGGTGTCCCTCGTCCTCTGGGCAGGCTTCCTCATCACTTGATTCTTGGCAGCAGTGGTGTTCTGGGTTTAGGTGGACCACAGTGACATCAAGGACACCACTGGGAGCTGTCACTGTGGGAAATGTTGGGATGGGGAGGTCATGGCATAGCCTGAGCATCAGAGGTAACCCTCTCTGCCCAGTCAGGACCTGGGCAGTCTAGACTTTGGCTCACAGCCAGGACAGTTTACAGCATCCTGTGCCTGGTCAAATATCCCCTACCTGGCTGTGTTCCCTTATATTGCTCAGCTGAAAGCTATGGGTGACATGCTTCTCTCAAGATAGGAGGGCTGCCACCCTACAACTCTGAGGGGAGTGGAAGGTGGCAACTGGCTGTATAACTTACTCAGTCCCCTGAGTGGACACAAAGTTAAGCAACTGGAAAGGGCTAAAAAGTCTGCCCAAGGTCGGTTTTTTTAGGATACTGGGGACAGGACCTCCTTCAGCCCATAAGAGATGGGATGGGAAGGGGGGTTATGTATACTATGTGGATACATTTCAACAGTCCTTTAGAAAGATCTAATCAGGAACTCCAGATAGGGGTCCCTGTTCCTCCCTGTCCTGAGGGCCTTGCACTATCACAGACCCAGCTGAAGCAGACCCAGGTTTGCCTAAATCCTCTCCCTCCCTGTGGGGTAGCAGTATAGCAGTAATCCCTATGCCCACCCTGAGCTCTTGTGTCTAGGGGCTCTACTCTCACACCTCTGGGTTGGGACAAGCTGTCCTAGGTAAGAGTGTGGTACTACCAGCTAGCTAGGGCCAGGCCTCCATTGCTGAGTATAGGAGGCCCTTAGTAGAAGGCACCTCCTGTGAAATGTCCCTCTGCTATACACTCACCATCACCTTCCTTCTCACCCTCACTCTCCTGGTCGCCCTCATAACCAGAGCAGCAGTCCAGGCTCCAGTCCAGGAAGCTCCCCAGCAGTGTCTCTTCCTGGCTGGACAGCTCAGCAGTAGGTGTGGTGACAAAGCTGCCTCGGTCCTCCTGAAGGCTGTTCTCCCGCTTCCTATGAGATAGGGAAAGCCAGGAAGCTCCAGTCATGCACCAGCTTCAAACACCTGTTCACTTCTGGGCCCTCTCGTTTGCTCTGGAAGGATGTGCTGGGTAGAGAATGCCAGTGAGGCTAGAACCAGTGTGAGCCTTGAAGGCGGGGCCTGTCTAGGTGTCAACCCTGGCTCAACCTAGTCAGCTACAGGACCCTGGGCCAGCCATCCTCCAGGATGCTAGCTATAGAAGATGCAGCCAGAGATGGGGCTGTCCCCAGGGAGTGCTGGCACTTCTGCCCTCCTGGGGTCAAGGCTGAAGCTGGAATGTGGGCCTGTTTCTGGGAGAAGCCACCATACCTGCTGAGTTTCTGTTTCCTGAGCTCAGGGAATGAACAAAGTTAACTCAGTATAACCTGGGGATCCCTTTCAGACAACTGACAGGGCGGTGGGGGCTGCTGGGAAGCAAGTTTAACAGTGAGACTGGGTGTGGGGGAGGGGCCAGGAATTCCACCTCCCAAGGCATAATTGTATGTCTGTCTGGGCTTTCCCTGTGGGCAACTCCATCCATGGATAGTCAGATTGTCATCAGCAGAGTAGGAGGAAAGTGGTGACATTCTCAGGTGGGTCCAGGTCACTCACATTTAGCACAGTGGCAATGCTTGGGGCAGTGCATGGGGATGGCTTAGGCTGCTTCTGTATCAGCTGCTTCTTTGGGGGTCCCCTGGAGTTCAAGGATCTGTGACCAAAGGCCTATTCCCCACACATTCATGGAGGTAGCCCTGTCTGGCCCGTGTGATGTGACAGGAATAACTCTACCCAATGCCTCCTCTCAGGAAGCTAAGGGTACAGAGGATGCTGAGGAATTACAGAGGAAGAGCCAGCAGTACAGAGAAGGTCCTGTTCATCTGGGCTTTGCAGAATCAACAGGAATTCTTCACATGGGTAATATGGGGAGGGGAAGTTATTCCAGGAAATACAATGATAGCAGTGATAAGAGAGATGGGAGTGGGAAGCTGAGGCAGGAGCATCACCGTGAGTTTGAGCCCAGCCTGGGATACATAGTGAGTCCAAGGTCAATCTGAACTACATAGTGAGACTGTCACAAAACAAAACAAAAGGGAGAGAAAGAGATGGGAATAAATAGGAGTACGCACAGGCAAAGAGGGAGGACCCAAGGGGAAGGAGGAAACTGATGGGAATGTTAATCAGGTTATAACCCAAGTGCCAGGAGTGACAGCAATATGCATAGAGGACAGTGCCTCAGGATGGCACAGGCAAAGTCAGAGCCTAAGTCATGATCAACTGTGCTCAGAACCATTTTCCCTCAACAGGGAGCCAGAATAAAGCAAGAGAGCCAGCCACCTCTGAAAAAGGACAGCTGAAGGCAGTGAAACTCAAGAACACAGCTAAGGACAGACTGCCTAGGTTCAAGTGCAGGGTCCCCCTGTGTGGAGCTCAGACAGAAGGTGTCAGTGAGGGAATTCAGGCTTTGACTGCAGGAGCCAGCAGCCAGCAGCACCACACTATATAGCCATGGAGTGGCCCTGGGGGGGACTCACCGCTTTGTTCTCCCAGAGGGGGAGTTGAGGAAGGGGCAGATCTCCCCTGAACTGGGGAAAGATGTGGGCTCTGGACTTTCTTTCACCCCCAATGCTGCACACAATTGACTGTAGCTCAGCACCTGGGGAAGCCAGAGTCAGCAAGAGGGAAGAGGCACTGTGAGTGAGGCTGAAGAGCCCCAATCCCCAGCCTGCACCCCCATCAAACACCTAGGTGACAGTGGAGGGGAAGGTACCTCACCTCTTCTTGGTTGATTTCTTCATATTTCTTGTCCTCAAATCGTTGCTTCACAGCGGTCAGAGAGACTTGCCGGTAGTCCTTGGGGGCATCGTCATGGAAGCTGGAAATGACACAGAGGTGGATGTGGGAGGCACTCCCCCATCCCAGTTTTAGTTTGCTCCCTCAAGTGGAGGGGACAACAAGCTTTCAAAACCTGCACAATGATCAGGATGCACAATGGTGTAGTCACTCTGGAAAACAGCCTGGCAGCTCATGAAGCAGTTAAACATAGTTTCTATATGACCCAGCCATTCCACACCTAGGAATTTATACCTAAGAGAAATGAAAACACATGTCCACACAGAAACTCACACCAGACCATTCACAGCAGCACTATTCATAATAGCCAGAAGGTGGAAACAACCCACATGTCCATCAATGGCTGAGTGGATAAACAAAATGTGGTCCATCCCCCCAGTGGAATTTTATTTAGTTATTAAAAAAAAAAGCCCTGACATGCATTGCAACATTAGCCTTGAAAACATGATGCTCAGTCAGAGAACCTAGATACAAAAGGCTGCTTACTATATGGCTATATTTATACAGAATGTCCAGAATAGGCAAATACAGAGACAGAAAGCAGGTAAGTGGTTGCCAGGGACTGAGGAAATTGGGGGCAATTGGAAGGTGACAGCTAAGAATTTTCTTTTGGGGTGGTAAGAATGTTCTAAAATTGGTTGTGGTGATGGCCATGCAACTTTGTGAATATACTAAAAGCCCATTAAGTTGTGCAATTAAAAAAAAATTTAGAGCCAGGAATGGAGCTCACAAAAAAAGCTTAGTTTATATAAATAAATGTTTTGAATTGTGATGGTTAATCTTCAATGTCAACTTCATTGGACTGAGAATCAGGAAATAAGAAAGCCCACTTTTGGGTGTGTCTGAGTGTGTTTTCAGAGAAGATTGGTATTGAGGGAGGAGCCCACCCTGAATGTGGGCCTGGGGACCCCGAGGGTGCAAAAGTGGACAGAAGACACCCTCTAGCACAAGCTGTCACTCTCTTCTTTCTGGCTACCTTGAGGTGAGCAGCTTTCTTCCCCACACCCTTCTACCATGAAGTTTCTGCTTTACCATAGCCTTAGACACTAAGAACCCTGAAACCATGAGGCAAAATAAACCTCTTGTTCTCTAGTTGTTATTCTCAGGTATTCTGTCAGACACAAAAAGCTGACTAACATACCAATTTAACTAGTTATAATAACAACACAAAAAATTCCTTTGGAGGAAAAAATAAACACAGCTCAGTAACAACTTTTGTTGTCCAGTATCTGGTGACAGCTGGTGCTCCTAGAATGATCAAAGATGGGGGTCAGGGCCAGGGATTTAGCTCAGCAGCACTGTGCCTGTCTTGTAAGTGCAAGGTCCTGAGTTCGATCCCTGGTACCAAAAAAAAAGGAGGGGGCTCAAATACATTGACCCTTCCACTGTCACCCTGGTTCCCTATCTGACAGCTACAGGATCTGGGCTCTGCAGAAGAAAATGGTGGGCAAAAGCACATAACAACCCCAGGAAATGGTGACCAGTGTCCACACATAGAGAACAGTGATGAGGGAGAAAAAAGGATGGCTGGAGAGAAGAGCTGGTCAAGAACCGGGGCTTGGGACGGGGATTTAGCTCAGTGGTTCCGGCGCCTGCCTCGAAAGCGCAAGGTCCCAAGTTTGATCCCCGGTACCAAAAAAAAAAAAATTGTTGGGCCGGGGATTTACCTCAGTGGTTTCGTCGCCTGCTGCACAACCACAAGGAGTTCCATCCCCGGTACCAAAAAAAAGAACGGGGGCTGTTCTGGAGAGCTCTGATCTTATCCTGGAAGCTGCAGAGCAAGGCTCTGGATTGACATAAGCAGGAGGGATGCTCTGAGTCCCTCCAATTCCAGGAGGTAGCAAGGGAGTGACCAAGGTCATTGAGAGGACCAGATCTCAAAGTATGCATGTGTAAAGTACGTCAGATGTAAAAGCTGCTAGGCCGTAGGGATGAAGGAGAAACAGAAACAAGCAGGTCCTGGCTTCTGCCAGTATGACTAGGCCTCAACCACCAACTGCCAAATGCAACCTGAAGGGGAATTCCCAACCAGAGAAGAAAGGGCAGTTGGCTTAGATACACTAGGCAAGGTGATCTGGGGTGGAGTGGTCAAGGTTTAGATGTGGTCTGGATCTGGAAGTGGTTAAGCATCCTTGGAGGAGAAACTGGGAACAACAGAAAGAGAGTCCAAAACTACTTGGACTCTCAGGATGGGGGTGGGAGATAGAACCAGACTGAGGCAGGGTGTCCTGGAGGAGGAAGCTGCAGGACTCGGAGGGAGGAGGCCACAGTAAGGGGAACTGAGAATTAGGAGAAGCAAATTATGAGGAAAGTTCTGGAGGAATTGAGGAAGCAGTAATAGCTAGATGCAAACTCAGCCCATGTGTTCCAAGATTCTCACATAGCCAGCAGTCTGCTGATCTGCACAAGCCGCCCCCTTTGCCTTCACTTTCTTTTTTTGTTGGCTTGTTTTTTTTTGGTACCGGGGATCGAACTCAGGATGTTGCACTTGTGAAGCAGCCGCTGGAACCACTGAGCTAAATTCCTGGCCCTGCCTTCACTTTCTTTAGGGGAACCCTGGTCCTTCCAAACACCAGCACCCTCCACACACTTTCTTTTTCTCCTGGCTCCATTACCACCTGACTCTCTGTTCAGCATGTGTTCTGGCCTCTCAGGACTCCCGCAAGAATGGAAAGGTGGGAAGATAAGGAGGTAGCAAGGAACTCAGGTCTGGAGCACAAGTGGGAGCAAGCCATCATAGCTAAGATCAGACAGGCACAGATGAGACTAGCAGTGAGGGTCTGCTTGCCTGCTGGCTTCCACTTCCTCACTTATCTCAGCTAAAAGGCCAAGAAGCGATGGCTTCCACTTCCTCAATGAGAGACTCTATGTGAAAAATGTGAAATTCTATGAACTGTGAAAAAAATGTATGAACCATGGCCCTGAAACTTTAAAATGTCTATTCAAAAGATATTTCTTACATGAAATTCACTGAGGTAAGATCTGTGCATTGACCGAGAGCTGTTAATGAAGACACCAAGGGCTGGATGGAACTTGAGCCCTTGCCTGGCAGATTATGGCCAGAGGACTAGCTTCCTTAAGGACTTACCACTTTTTTTGGTGGTTTTGGGGACTGAACCCAGTGGATTTGCACTGAGCTACATCCCTAGCACTTTTTTCTTTCTTTTTTTTTTTTGGTACTGGGGATCAAACTCAGGTCCTTGAGCTTGCGGGGCAGGCAGCGAGCAGCACCACTGAGCTAAATCCCTGGCTCCCCAGCACTTATATTTATTTTGGGGGGATTACAGGCATGCGTCACCATGTTCTGGTGGCTCAGACTCACCATTTTTTATGTAGTTTCAAGACGCAAGGCATGAGGTCTTCACAGGAGAAGCCAGTGAGGTCCCATAGTTGAGTGGTCCAGGGCTGTGCTGAGGAACAAAGCAGGCCAGAATGCAATGGTTGTCTGACCACTCCCACTCTATAAATCTGCAGGTTATAGTCCTGGAGCTCAAGATTGCAGTCCATTAAAATGGTTTTGACAAGTCCTCATATAGAACATGCATACTGTCAAAAATTTGGGAAATACTTAAACTAGAACCATCTCTCATCTCTCAACCCTATGCTACCTTTGGTTCATTCTGAAGGGATGGGCACTTTTTTTTTTTTTAACCATGTAATACTGGGGCTTGAAGCCAGGACCTTCAGGATGAGCTATTATCCTTAGCCCTTTAAACAATTTTTATTTTGAGACATGGCCTCACTAAATCACTGAGTTGCTCAGGCTGGGCTCAAACTTATGATTCTCCTGCCTCAGCCTCCTAGACGTGCTGAGATTATAGGCATATGCCACTATGTGCTGGGCATATATTTCTTGTTGTCCCACCACCCTTCTCCTACTTGAGGACTTCCCCTGCTACCAGCAATCCCCTAGAGGGGCCACTCCTTACTCTGCCCATGCATCACTCTGGCCAGAAGCAGGGCTGCAGAGGCCAGGTGGGCTGGGGCGTAGGCAGACAGACTGGTGTGCAGCAGCGAGAGCTCACAGAGGAAGCTGCACAGGTGTTGAGTTCTAGGTGCCACAGGGACCAGCGTCAGCAGGACCTCTTTGTAATCGACCACGGTAGGGACCTAGACAAAAGGGGAAGGTGGATGTGGGCTCTTTTCCATCAAGAGCATACCAAGCAACAGCCCAGCTGGGACTTGGCCCTCACTCAGGGCATCAAGGCATGTGATGATGCACTGCAGTGATGGGCCCTTGCTCATGGGTTTGGGCATGGCACAGACAGCTGACCCCTGGGTACATAAGGATCTTCCAGAGCAGGAAAGCTGGATGTTTTCAGCTCTTCCTACTCCTCCCATAACCCAAGCAGGGAGACGAAAGAAACCTCTACTTACTCGAATCTTCCCTTCCAGGGCGGAGACGATCTCTCCCATCATTCTCACCAGATCCTCGTACTTGTATGTGTTGTCTGTGAGCCACACAGCCTCTCGAATCGTCAGGATCTCTTTACTGATGAACCTGGAACATGGAGAGGGGGACTTAGCCGAGTCCATCTCCTGAAGGGATAGGAACTGGGAGGCCTCAAGGTAAGGAGAGCATGATGACTCTGAGCTTCGGTGCCAAAGGAAGGCTATACAATGGATCCAGCTGCCTCTGGACAGTAAGAAACATTAAAGGGAGAGATGGTCAGAAGGTACTGGAAAGAAGAAAGATTTGAGCCTGGATACAGAATCAGAGTGGGAGAGGAAGGGCTATTGATCAGACACAACTGTCTGCAAAAGGCTCTATTATTCAGTTTTCCTAATGACCTTAGAAACGAGGATTTGCCTTTTTTCTTTTCTTCTTTTGGTGCTACTGGGGATCAAACCCAGGACTTTGCATATGGCTAGGCAAATGCTCTATAAGCGGCACTCCTAGACTGTGCCTTAATTTTTTGTGTGTGCAGTTCTAGGGACTGAACACAGGGCTTTACATATTCTAGGAGAGCGAACACTCTACAACTGAGATACATTTCCGGCCCTTTAAAAAATTTTTTATTTTGATGCCAGCAGTGGTAGCCCATGCCTGTAACTAGCACTCTGGTAGCCTGGGCAACTTAATGACTCAGTGAAATCCTGTCTTAAAATAAAAAATAAGAAAATAGATATAAGGGATGTAGCTCAGTATGAAGATCCTGGGTTCAATCCCTGGTAGCAAAAACAATTTTTATTTTGAGGTACCCCCCCCCCCGCCAGTACCAGGGATCAAACTCAGGACCTTGGGCTTGTGAGGCTGGCACATTGCCACTGAGCTAAATCCTCGGCCCTAGAATCTTGCTAAGTTGCCTAGGCTGGCCTTGAACTTTTTACCTCTAGCCTCAACCTCTTGAGTATTGCCCTATCTTTTAACAGTATCAATTAGAGTATAAACAATTTACACTCAGAAGGTAAACGACCCATTGGCACCAAGAAGTAGAAGTGAAGGTTCCAGAGATTATCTAAAGGTCTGTATACAACATGGCAGCTGGCCACATGAATTCTGATTGTCCACGAGATAGGGGACACCCAGTTCTCTACTGTCTGCCAGTGCCAACCATCACGGAACATCCTACTCCAGAGGCCCTGACGATGATATCCCAAGTAGGAATGGACCAAGGCCCAGTTTGTTCTCTGCTTGTGCTGGGTCTCTGCAGTTTGCATATTTGTCATTGGCTTGACAGGACAGAAGGGACAGGAAGTATACCTCCAAGCATAAAGGGCACACATGCCCAAAAGAGGGGATGTGAATGGGTTGCCCAGAGTCCTGCACTGGAGTCTAAGGTGGGGAGATAAGGAGGTAGGGGCAAGTGGGGCTAGGGAGAAGTGCTACCCTGACAGCAGGACTGGCATATCTCAGCCTTTAAAACCATTTCCAGAGGTTACGATCTGCTGTCTGTGGCCCAGTAACTTGTTCTGAAATTGCAGTGATGTAACTGCTGTTAGATCCAGGAAGGCAGCAACACCACTTGTTCATCAGCATCTCTGGGATGGTGCCAGAAGACCTGGCACATACAAGGAGGGCTCTGGACTGGGTGTGGCAGGGTCTGCTCATTGACCCTGAATTCCTCACTTCTTCTGTAGGGTACTATGACCCTGCTTTGAGCCGTCCAAAGGGACTACAGTTTCTGTCGTGGCCTTACATTGGTGACATGACTAAACTACATGGCAAGGCGGACATGGCAGCTATGGCGTCATGGGGACAAGGGCAGCCACTGGGGGGTGGCAGAGAGTAAGACAGGAGCCAGGGTTCCTTCATGACCTCCTGAAATAAAAAAACATCCCAGTGACCTTGGACCCTTTGTCTCTAGACTATTATGCAAGACAGAAATAGATCTCTGCAGTTAACATCATTGCCAAGTGCAGCCAAACCTATTCCTTACTCACTAGGCCTCCCAGACAAGGACAGTGGGTCTGAAATGTACTTCCTAGTAGAAGTAGTGGCTCATGCTAGGGATGTTTGGTTTAGGAAAACAAGAAAACTCGACCTCAGAGACATGGTTCTCTCTGTGAACTCTTAGGACCAAAGAGGAAGAAGGCAGTCAACTGTGACTCTCCTTGGGACCTATACCCTCAGGACCCAAGGGAAGTGTGGTCTAGTCTGTGCCTGTTTGAGTTCATCCTCTGGGTTCTGAGACCATCTGCCAAGATGAGCTGCCTGGACACATGTACCTGCCAAATGGCCATGCCAAGGGTCAATTCTGCCATCCCCACCTGTGAGTCAGGTGAGACCCTTAAGACTTATTTCCCTTATGAACTAGCCACTAGCACAGGAAGGACAGGTGACCTCCAAGAAGAGCCAGCACATCCAAACACCAGCCCTGTTGGCTGGATCAATCGGCTTCTTACCGGGTGCAGATGACCATGCAGCCAATGCCCAGCAGCTGGAGCTTAAAACGGGGTACCACCCTCCTCCTCAGGTACCGGTCCACACACTCCACTGTCAGGTGAAGGCACAGGCTCGTGAAGTCCTTCATGGTGGCAACTTCTACCAGCCAATCAATCAGAATGTACCTGTGGAGAGAGTGCCACCCAGATCATTTATAAAATATATAATAACATTCTGCAATAAAAAGAGCCAAAAAATCAGTGCTGAGGAGGAGGGTGCTGCTTGGACCCTTGGGCTCATTTTCTTTGCAGTATCAGAGACTGAGCCCAGGGCTGGGCTCGAACATACACCATACTGAGGTACCTTAGGCTCTTGAATGTCTCACCTCATTGTGTCATTCAGTCCCTTCTGCACTGAGAAGACCTGCTGCTTACTGACAGCTTGGGAGGCCTGGAACAACTGGCAGACTACCTCATTGCAGGCTTTTGCTTCTAGTCCAAGCTGGTTTCCATTTGCACAGGCTTTGGCTAAAGCCAGCTAAGGACAGAAAGACAAGGGGAACATGAGCATCAGATTGTCTACTTCCGAAGGGAAGGGCTCTTCAGATAGAAAACACAGGTGTACAAACTTGCCTACTTAAGCCTTCTCAATCTTCTGAAACAGTATAGCTAAGATCTCTTTTTTTTTTTTGGTACTCGGGATTGAACTCAGGACCTTGCGCTTGCAAGGCAGGCGCTGGAACCACTGAGCTAAATCCCCTGCTAAGATCTTTAGTATTATTCTCTTTTGAATAAGTAAGATACCACAATAAAATTTTTTTAAAGGGATGAAAGGTAGATGAGTTGCCTTCCCAACCTAGTGCAGATTCTTAGGGAATTTAAGTCTTCTGCTCACATTGTAAAAAACTGGGGCCAGGGATTTAGCTCAGTGGTGTCATGCCTGCCTCGCAAGTGCCAAGGTCCTGAGTTCAATCCCCAGTACCAAAAAAAAAAAAACCCCAAAACTTATTTCTGTTCAATCCTAGTGTAAAAGACATTCCAAGGGAAGCTGTACCACAAAGTACTAAGAGCTGGCTGAGAGCCAGGTATGGTGACATATGCTTATAATTTCAGCTACTAGGAAGGCTAAGGCAGGAAGATCTCAGGTTTGAGACCAGCCTGAGGAACTACTTGACCCTGTCTCAAAATAAGGGTGGGAATGTAGTTTAGAGGTAGAGCTCTTGCCTAGCACATGTTATGCACTGGATTTGATCCCTAGCATCATAAAAACAAACAAAACCAAGAACTACAACAACAAAAAAAGAGCTGGCTGGGAGCTCAGATCATCTGTCTTTAAAATCTGGACTTAAGCCGGACATGGTGGTACATGCCTGTAATCACAGCACTTGTGAGGTTGAGCCAGGAGGATTGCCACAAGTTCAAGGCTAGCCTGGGCTACAAAGTGAGTTCAAGGTCAGCCTGTAACCCCTCCGCCCTAAAAAACACAACCAAAACAAAAAGCTGGACTCGTGTGACCACAAGCAAACTGGAAACCTCTCTGCGCCTCAGTTTCCTTTTTCATGGAATAATACATGATCAGCCTTTGAGCCAGCACTTGGCACTCACCTGCCAGGCACCAATTAAGACAGCTGGTCACTGTCAGTCATTTTTATACATTTCCTTCTGGATTTTACTAGGCATTTATGTGCATATGCTATATGGATATATGTATAAGTGGATGCATCTGAGACAATATACATACATTTTATCTTTTGCCTTCCTAACAATAACATAAAATTATTAAATATAACTATAGATTATTAAATATCCATAGGCATATTCCACCTATTTCCCCACTAAGGGTATTTTTCTTATTTACATTGTAGAATACTTAGTTCCTTACCCAGTGAGTCCACACGAGCACCTACACTTTGCTACATCCCCCCAAGTGCTTTCGGAAAGCCTTGTGCTGATTTTCACACCACTCACAGGAGCACTTTGTTCATCTCACCTTCACCAACAAAACTGTTATTAAAAATGTTTCTACTCAGAAACATAAATTTGCTAATGCAATCAGCCCAAAGTATCTCATTTGAAGGTGTGGGGTTTTTTTGGGGTTTTTTTTGGGAGACAGGGTCTTGCTATGTATCTCAGCCTGGCTTTGAACTCACAATATAGCCCAGGCTGGCCTCAAACTTGCAGTGATCCTCCTGCCTCAGCCTCGTGAGTGCTAGGATTTCAGATGTGTAACCACCACACCTGGCTTTGTTGTTCTGCTTTTTAACCCGTTGTATTTATTTCTTCTTTTCTGAGAATCTACCAAGGCCCTCTGATTATTCATTAGGGTCTTAACTATTCTTATTGATTACTCTGAGCTTTCATGTAGAAGTACACTTCTTGTAAATGTAGTATTCCTTTTTTTTTTTTTTTGGTACCGGGGATCGAACTCAGGTCCTTGCGCTTGCGAGGCAGGCGACGGAACCACTAGGCTAAATCCCTGGCCCAATTCCTTATAAATCTTTTGGGACAAGAACACAACATTCTGTGACACATCAGACTAAGCTATTTATGGTTTTTCCCTACTATATGAGTGTAGATGACTTTCTATTCTACTTCTAGTTGCTTTGCAATGGGGGAGGATCTTACTTATTTGTCCTGAAACTTCTTTACAGCCGTAAGGGGAGATAGTCTGGTAAAAGATAACTACAAATCCTTGATTTCCTGGCTAGATGGTTTGAGCAGGGCTAGCTACTAACAAGAACAGGAAAGCACTTCACGTGTTCCTCTGCTCTCTGGTCACTTCAACTTTCACTGTCAATACAACCATTACAGGACAACTTTTGAGAATAAGTGGTATAAATTCTGACAGCAGGCTAGCATTGAGAATTCAGAGGCTGGTGGCAAAGAGGCAAGAGTAGACATGAGTAGAAATGAATGAGGCACTTCTGGGCTCTTCTCCCTGCATACCAGAGCTAAACTCATTTCAGATTCAGCTCTAGCCAGGCACATGCCTATAATCCCAGCATTCTGGAGGCTGAGAGGCAGAAGGATAGCTGAAAGTTTGCGGCCAGCTTGTACCACATAGCAATTTGAAGGCCAGCATAAACTTCATAGGAAGACCCTGTCTCCAAAAAAAAGATTCAGCTCCAGCAGTGGACCAATCTTACTGCATCCCTCAGTCTCCTTTTGTGAGCCCAGGTAGTCCTGCCCCAAGGCTGTAAGAAGGCCAGTTTTCTCTTGTCACCTGTGCTTCCCAGCAGCCTTTGGCAGCGTAGTCCCTGAGTTTCCGGAAGCTATGGAGGCATCGTCCAGGGTCTGACATCTGTCAACAGAAGAAAGTTGCCTTTACACTCTTTTGTCTTCAGAGGAACTCAGAACTAACCCATGGGGTTCTTAAATGTCCCTTCTCCCACCCCCAGAAGGTCCCTGACTGTGCTAGCTCCCCAGCCTTTTATCTTCAAACAATGGTGGGTGTTTTGAGGGTACTGAGAGCAGCCTGCTCCCAGAAGCTGTGAAAGGGTCCTTCCTTTTGCCAACAGTCTTATCCAAGGGCTAGTTTAGAGATTGTGCCTTTGACCAACATGATTCCTCCTTTCCTCAAACCTTGGTCCACTCACATCTGTCTTCCTGTCACTTTCCCAAAGGAGGTACGAGCTGGCCAAGCATCCCTGATGAGCCGACTCTTCAAATAGGTCACGGGCCTGCTTCCTTTTCTCTTCATCCTAGAGCAAGGCCAAACACAACTGGTTCTTTTCTTATCTTCTATTCAATGTTCATTCATTCTACCAACCTACCTCTTCCCCTCCACATTCCTAAGCAACCAAACTCCCTGTGATAACTGACATGTTAACTAAATCAGAGTAGAAATGACTTCTCTAAAGATACACCACTTGACAACCAAGGAAGGGTACAAACTTGGGAGCTCTGGCCTCAGGGATTCTGCTTTTACTGGAGATTTGTGCATTGGCTTGGTTTGTAGATTCCCTAGCTCACATCTGGGCCACCCAAGGCCTGCCTTTCAGTCTTGCTGCCAAAGGAAATGCCCTGAGCCTAGAAAGTGGTGTTGGTGACTCTCTGGATCCTCTACCTCCTCACTCTGCCTCAACATCCCTCCCTAATGCTTTCTCTAGAAGTTATGATAGTCCCTAAATCTAATGCAAAGGGGATTCACTGTGATCACAAAGCTCATTAAAACCTCAAGACCAGATAATCAACTACCCAGCAGATGAAGTCCACCACTAGCAGAGCCATCACACAAACATCTCAGCACCATCTGCTCAGTTCCTGATAGATTTTCTCTGCTATGCCTCTTGCCCATGTTGTCCCATTTAATTCTCACAGCTATCTAAGAGTAAGGTCATAATCCACCAACAATCTCCTTTCTTGGGTAGTGAGGTTGGAGCCAGGATTCACTGCCTAGCCCCCTGTGGCCTCTCAAGGCAGGGCTTGGCTTTTGCATTGACCTTTGATGCCTTCCATTGCTTTTCACATATTCCTGGATTCCAGCCACGATGTGTCAAACCAGGCAAAAATTCCACGTGCAAGGAACAAGTTGACTAACCTCGAAAAGATTCAGTACTCTTCCTAAGCAGTACAGTATGGATGCTTTATGAGTCTTTGGAAAAAAAAAAGAAAAGAAAAAAAACCATGAGTCCCAGCAGAGAACTGTTAGGGGGAACCTTCCCCAACCTTGCCAGCCCACCTCATGAACAGGACCATTCCCCAGTAACAGACTTTGGCTCTGGTGCTTTATGCAGCCTCAGTCCCATGTTTCCAGCTGCCAACACATTTGCCTAAAGTTCTGCCATCCACTCCAGGCCCTAAATCCCTCCATTACATCTATACTTGATGTTCTGCACCTCTACTTCCTCTGGGTTCCCAACTTTACATGGTCAAAAGGGTCTACTGGAGGGTTTTCCTATGTCCCAGACCCTGTGGGTGGACTCATGGGTGCTACCCACCACCAGGACTTACTCTTTGTAGCTGACACTCTGCCCTGAGACTCTCATGGACCACAGCCTTGCAACAGCTTCCAGACACAGACCAAGGTGGGCGGATGAAAAGCCAGATAAAAGGTGAGGCACTCACATTCAGTCGCTCAGCCAGACTGAAGAAGTGAGAGGCTTTCAGGCCATTCACTTCTGCTCGGGCCTCATCAGACACAGACACTGCAGGACAGACAGAAGAGAACCCAGGGATGACTCTGGGGGATGGGATAAAGAAAGTTCCCCAGTCTTTCTGGGAAGTCCAAAAGCTCAAGCACACTGTAGTAAAGTTTCTGGTGTTTTAGGAAAGAAAAGCCCTCTAGGGTGGAAGCACCTTCCCTTTCTTCCCCTGTTTAAGTCTAGAAGGGACTGTGTTGTCTTTGTGACCATAGGCTCTGCTGGAGTCCTTCTGGAAGCATGGATTTTAACATCAAGGGATGGTATTCCCCATAGAGCCAGACCCATCTTTCCTCCTGCAGGAAACTGCTGCCTGAGCCCCTGCTAATGGGTTAATGAGGGAGAGGTTCTTTTAGGGATCATAATGTTCTAAAATTAGGCAGTGGTAATGGATGCATAACTCTGTAAATATATTAAAAATCATTGGAAAAGCCAGACATGGTGGCACATGCTGGTAACCTCAGCTCCTTTGGAGGCTGAGGCAGGAGGTTCAGAAGTTCAAGACCAAGCTGGACAACTTAGTGATACCCCATCTCAAAAAAAGACAACAACAAGGCTGGGGACTTAGCTCAGTGGTGCCGCACCAGCCTCAAAAGTACAAGGTCCTGAGTTCGATCCCCAATACCAAGAAAAAAAAAATGAAAAAAGACAACAAAAAACCCCAACACCCCAAAAAGCCCACTAAACTGTACACTGTAGTGACATGAATTAAGTTCTCATCAGATGAGCTCTGCCATCTGATGAAAGCATGGGTGCAGAATTTCAGCTCTCCTGGGCCTGGAGAAGGGCTGCTCAAGGGCTTCATCAGTTGCAATATTCTTATCAGCTGGCCAAGGGCAGGGACTATCTCTAGGCAAGAACCAGCTTTTTAGACTTTTTTTTGGCAGTAATGAGGATTGAACCCAAGATACTCTACCACTGAGCATTATCCCCAGTCCCTTTCACTTTTTGAGACAAAGTCTAATTAAGTTGCCTGGGCTGGCCTTGAACTTTCAATCCTCCTGCCTTAGCCTCCCAAGTAGCTGTGAATACAGCACCAAGCCAACACATCAGACTTTTTCCCTGTGTGGTACTAGGTACTGAACCCAGGGCTCCATGCATGCTAGGCAAGCACTCTTAGCTCTGAGCTACATTCCCCAGCCCAAGATATCAGATCTTTCAGAAGCAAGAAAATAGCAGGGCAGGCTATAACCCAATCATTATATGTATTGGGAGCTGAGATAACAGACTATGAGCTCATTCCTTGGGGTGCTAAACAGATAAGCAGAAGGAGAGTCCATACAAAGATCTTTCAAGAAGCAAGTGGAGCCTACACAAGGATCTTTCAAGGAGCACCTGGCCTTTAGGGAGGGAGGAACCCAAGAATGAGGAAGGCTCTGACCTGCTTCCTGCATGGAATCATGGCTGCCTACATTACTGACACCTTGTGGAATCAGGTATGCACTTCTGCCCCAAAGTTCCACAGATGATGACCAAAGAAAGACCATGTCCACTCATGGGCCTCGGTGGATTTTTTTTGGTACCAGGGATCGAACTCAGGACCTTGCACTTGCAAGGTAAGGGGGGGGTGTGCTGCTGAGCTAAATCCCCTGCAGGGCCTCAGTGTTAGTCAGACTGAAGGTGGGAGCCTGGCTTGTCCAAGCAGCCCCCATTCTGAGACTCTGTTCGGTGTTAGGATTTGCTAAAACAAGAGGTGACTCTTGGAACCTAAGTCAAAATGTTGATGGATCTCCCCTCATAAGGCATCTCTTGGCATAAGCTTTCCTGAAGGGATAGTAAAGGAGACCATCAGATATAGCAAGAGTGCCTAAACTACTCAGAAAGTTGGACTTGGAAGCACATGCCTGTAATTCCAGCAGCTGGGAGGCTGAGGCAGGAGGATTGCTATAAGTTTGAGGCCAGCCTGGGTTACATAGAGAATTCAAGGACACCCTGAACTATATAATGAGACCCTGTCTCAAATATCCAAACTGCATGGGCCGGGGATTTAGCTCAGTGGTTTCGCCGCCTGCTGCACAAGCGCAAGGACCCAAGTTTGATCCCCGGTACCACACACACACACAAAAAAATCCAAACTGCTCATGTTGGATATATATCTCAAAAAGGCCAAAGGTGGGTGCTTGTGTAAAGTGTCCACAATCAGGGGGCTGTTACTTACGCCCTTCATTGTAGAGGTAGGCTATGCCTAGCTTCACAGCAGCTTCAAAATTTCCCTTTTCAGCAGCCCTAAAACATTAAGAACACAGTACAGGATTTTATCCCACAAAGGTTATATACTACCACAGCATTGGAAGCAGGGATATTTGCTTTTTTCAACTGAAAATTTTTTTTTTGGTACCAGAGATTGAACTCGGGTCCTTGCGCTTGCGAGGCAGGCGACGGAACCACTGGGCTAAATCCCCGGCCCTGAAAAATTTTTTTATGCAACATAAATATCAGTTATTCATTACATGCTATGACATGGATCAAACCTTGAAAATACGCTCTGAGAAGGAACCCAGTCACAAAAGACCATACATTATCATTCCATGTACATGAAATATCTAGAATAGGCAAATCCAGAGACAGAAAATAAATTATAGGTTGCCTAGGGCTTTGAGGATTATGTGGAAAAGGTATGTGCAGGGGACAGGTGGCAACAGTCAACAAGTACAAGATTTCTTTTTACAATGATAAGGATGTTCTACATTAGATGGTGATATTTTCATAATTTGAATATACTAAAAAAATCACTGAGTTAACACACTTTATATGAGGGACCTGTCTGATGCATATATTATGTCTCTAAGAAATATACATATTTTATCCAGAAGCAGCTCAACCACAGCCACAGCAAAATGGTCACAGTATACTTGTTGGATAGCTATTTGGATCTTTGGCAACTCAAGTGGATGAGGCTAGAGCAAACTCTATTTGGGAAGATTCCCTTCTGAATTATGGTTTCTCAGCTTGGTAAACAAGAAGGTTGAAACTGAGCCCCCTAGTTCTAAGGGCAGGCTCTAGAACCATTAGTGCTCTTGGTTAGTGGGCCTGGTTGCTTGCACTTGGGCTCATAGACTGCAGGCCTTGTGTCCCCTCCAGCCTTCCCTGGGTCATGACTCCAGGTGGGTGGGACCACCCAGTGAGTAAAATGTAGTAAGACTGCAATCACATACTTATGAACAAAGGAAAAGAAAGCTGAATAAATCTTCCACAGGCAAGTGATGCACATCTGAGTCACATGGGACTAGGCCACACCCCAAGGGAGGCCTTCTGGAAGCCCAACAGGCATGGGGGAAGGGTGACGACATGGGCTGCTGGATGTGGTATGGTTCAATAGGTGAGTTCTACAGCCCTGGGTCACTCACTCTTGGGGAGATGAGCCAATGTCCCAGGAAACAGCAACAATAAAACAGTTCCTGAATCAGGCTTTAGGGCACAAGCTTGCACAGGAGAGCCCCAAAGGCAGGAAGAAATCAAGCCATCTGTTTCTCAGGGTGCAGAGATACCTTTCAAAGAGCTTCAGGTTCTTTGGAGAAGGCCATAGCTCCTGGAAGCTGGCACATGCCCACACACTGGCATGGTTATCCACCAGGTACTTCAGGTGGGAGTGCACCTGCAGAGCAATGGAAATCAAGGGAGGAGTACTGAAGGACTGTCCCCAAAGCCCTGTTCCTAGAGGCTCTTGAAGACAGGACATCACAGACTTAGGGCATCCTGTCTCCTGCCCAATCCCAAGCAGTAAAAGACTCAGTCTCAATGTATCAAAGACAGACATACATTGCATAGACAACAGAGTTCAGAAATGAGTTTCTCTGAGTTCTAAGAGGGAAAGAATAGTCCCAGAAGAAAAGAATAAGCATCTAGGTTGAGAAAGAGTGAATGGCATCTCTGCAAAGGTATACATCTGGAAGAATTGGGGAAACCAACTCTAAATGGAAGCAGGCAGGAGTAAGACCCGTCTTGTGTTTCTCTACCTAGGGTCTTGCTAGTGGGAACATTGCCTGGAGCTTGGAGATCACAGGAACTCAAGGAAAAAAACAGACATCTGTGGTGGCAACCTCAGGAAGGACGAGCAGCCTCTGGGCAGGAAATGCCCAGACCAGGACCCTGAGCACAGGTAAACATTTTATTTTATTTTTTATTTTGTTTTTATTTTTTTGGTACCGGGGATTGAACTCAGGTCCTTGCGCTTGTGCAGCAGGCAGCGAAACCACTGAGCTGAATCCCCGGCCCAGGTAAACATTTTAAATGGTAAAGTTTTCACTGCTTTGGGACTCCACAACCCTATGAGTTCCATGGGTGTATGATGAATACAATGGAGGTAGTTCTGGGTGCCAGAAAATGGGTTCTTGCTGGAGATTTCCTACCAATTTGGTGTACATCCTGGGATAAGTCACCAAAGTGAGGCTGTGGTTCCAAAATAATTCCTTCAATTCATTGAATGTCACATAGGATTTGTCCTCAAGAATTCTTTGTAATACATTCTTTTTTCTTTGAGACAGGATCTCACTATGTAGTTCAGGCTGGCCTTGAACTCACTATGTAGCCCAGACTGGCCTCAAACTTGAAAGTCTGACTCAGCCTCCCAAGTTAGGTATGTACCACCACGGTCAACTTATCTATGTCTTAAGGGACACAAACTTTACTGTTATAGGATACTTTCTCTGTTGAAATAAATATTATAATGAATGAAATTGAACTTCAACATGCCGTTCTCTAGTTGGAACATCTTCAATTATCTATTAACAATATCACCCTTGTTTCCTTTGCCGCCAAAGTTTTGTTCTGACATAAGAATCTGAGGCCTTGATGGGATAATCAACAATGCCAGGACTGGTATTGCTTTCATCTGGTGACTTACAGCTCGGACAGCAAGGATGTCTCCAACAGAAAGCCACTTTAGGATGTGAAAGAGCACATCTTCTGGTAGACTCAAGATTGACAGGTTTCGGGGTCTCCTCTTTATTCTTTGCTTGGTAGGGTAACAGAAACACTTGGCACACCTACAGTGGATCACTTAAGAAAAAAAGAAAAACTCAGAAGTCCTGATGAGATGAAAAGCTGTATCTGAAAATGATTTAACAGTTACTACCCCTGCACCACAAAAGAAGGAACTGACTTGCCCCAAAGATTAAAGGAGCATTATATGAATTATGGAAGACATCATCATTTGTTCAATATCTAACAAATATTCATGGTGAAGAGTAGTTATCAGATAACTTGGCTATTGGTAACTTTCTGATCCAGAGTCCATATGACAACCAGGAAGGGAAAAAAAGCAGCCATTCTTAAGAAAATTCCTCAGGCCCTTGCTGATTATCTTTGCTTCACATGATAAAAAAGCACAATGTTCAGTAATATTCTACAGGTTGGAGGGCTGGCCCCGCAGGGAAGCAAAGGACATGGAAGCTCAATTCAGCAGATGTCAGAGCTGCCCAGCCCCTGAGCTTCAGTGTCCTCTGTAAAATAAAGACTTGATAGCTACTCAGCAAAGTGGTCCAAATCCCAACACAAGACCTAGACCCACAGAGATCCAAACATTAAAGTTCAGGCTCTCTGCACTCAGAAAGGTGGTTCTAATTCTTCCAGCAACTTTACTCATTTTAAGCAGATAGCATTACCTCTTATTTCACAGGAAAATGGACATCCTCACACAGGAGGCTTAAGATCCTGGTTCCCCATCCACAAATTTACGTCATTTTGCTCATCTTTACTGCCCTGAGGAGGGTGGCTGCTTTTCTATGTGACTCCCTCCCCAGGGTTTCTCTAAGGAGCGGCCTCCCCTCGACCTAGCTCTTCCTCCCAGCAACTAAATGTACTTCAAAGCCAAACATACAGTCAGGGAGAAACATTCGCAAAGATTATATGGATGTTACCATAAAAGTTTCCTCATTCCCTCGCTCTAGAACAGATACTTGAAGATGTTTAATAACCACTATAGTAATAAGTGGGAATCGTGTGTCTCATTGACCTGGCCCTCCAGCGCGCCAGGCCCCGCGGATGTGTTAGCTGGCGTGGGCGCCAGGTGAGAGGGTGCAGGTACAATGACGGACGCCAGGCGGGTCCCGGCTGCTCGCGTCGCCGAGTCCTGCCACTCGCCCCGCAGGCTCTTGACTCCCACGAAGAAGCCACCGTAGTTTGCTCCGCAGAAAACCGGGCAAGGAAACGCTGCGGACATTTAAACCAGGCCGGGGGGGGGGGGGGGGCTGCGCGGTAGTGCGCTGCAGTGGGGGAGACGCGCGCATCGAGGTGGCAGAGGCCCGGGCCCAACTTCCACGGACCTCGGCCACACTGGTACTCACCGCCGCCGCTCCCCATCGCTGCCCTGCCACTGCCACCGTCCGAACCCTCCGGCAAACGAGCCCGCTCCTTACTACAGCGCCTGCCGCTGAGCGCGAGCTCAGACGCAAACCCCGCCCGCCGCCCGCCTCGTTTTCAAATGATCCGGGCTCTCCAGTTGGCCACCCCGGGGCCCCTCCCTCTGCCCCACCAGCCAAAGCCTCCTGCGATTGGCCGCGCTAGGACGCAAATTCGAACGCGGGCCCTCTATTAGCCGAATCCCAGCGGCCGCCCTGCCTCCCCAGCTGAGCAGGGAACCTACCGGGTGAGACTGGGGTGGGCGTGCTGGGTCAAGCAAAGCCTGAGCACCCGGAGGGTGGGACCATGTAGCTAACTCCTCGGCGTCCTCCTATGGGAACCAGCCGAGTCCCGGACTGATAATACCTGACCTGAGTGCCCCCTGACAGCGCGCGGCGGGTCCCGGGCCCGACCCCCACATTCCGCCCGCCCGGCGGTTCCCCCTGCCTCGTGCTTCCGGCGGAGACTCGGCCTGGAAGTCCTGGCGCCGACGGGGTAGCGCAGAGTTCGGAGCCCGAGACTTCAGTTTAAGCGAGCTTGACTCCTTTTTGTCAACTGTGATTCGCCCTGGACCCACGGGGCAAGCCCTCACCTTCACCTTGACTACATGCTGTCCTGTCTCCAACTTCCCATCGTCACCTGCACCTGCGCATCTTACTGACTGCTGCCAGCCACCTGCAGTGTCATAAGGCTGAGCCGCCTGGTGTGTTCACTCACTACGTATTAGCCAGGGTGCATCACGTTCCACTTCATCGTGAGACCTTCTGTCTAGGGAAGAGATGGTTTCCTGGGGGAATCCAGGGAGTCTGGGCCCAGGTTCTCCCCTCTCCCATGGCTTGGATTAACCTTCACTGTTCCCTGTCTCACTGCACCTCACTAAACCCCTTGGGGTACCTGACCGGTACTGGGTACACAGGTAGCAGCCGGGGATCAAGGCCCCGTACCAATCTGAGCACAGTGCATAAGAGGGGCCCAGAGACCTCAAGAGATAAGGGCAAGAGTCCCTGAGAGGTGGGACTATTTCCTGCCTTTCACCCTGGTCCAGATGGAGGAAGAGCAGGTAGAGCTAAGAAAGCTTGGGACCGGTTCCCCCTTGCTCTTGGTTCCCACACAAGGAAGGGGGGAGTCCACGGGGATCCTCAGACTTATTTGTCTCTTCTTTATCCCCGTGGGTTATTATTTCTCATTTTGTTACTTTATCCTCCTCCCCTGCACCACGTTACTTTGTTATCTGTCCCTCTAGGATAGAGCGATTTCTGTGTTTGCTTTTGGTAGCAACTTGAACTAAATACAACAAGGATCAAGTCCGCACAGCTCACATCTTAGGATTTGTAACAGCATCCTTGGCTACTCAAAGTTCACAGTTGTCCTTTAGCTCTACTTTGTTCTTTGTGTCCTAACCACCTCATTTATGAAGAGGCCAAGTTCTTACTTTTCAGGAATCAGGTGTTCTCTTGGTTGCAACTGTAGGTCATGCTGCAGCCATGCCCCACCTACCCCACCTGCTGCACTGCAGCGGGCCCCAAGGGCCAAATTGGAGTAATGGCCCACTCCTTGAGGGTGCAAAGGAGACCCATTTCCCTTGGGGTTTCCAGAGGATGAGAAAACTCTGGAAAGACTCCATTCTTGGGAGTTCAGCAAAGTATAAAGTGGCAGTTGAAGGCCTGGGAGTCAATGAGAATAAATTCAAGGGTGGTACAGAGATGGGCCGGGGATTTAGCTCAGTGGTTCCGCCGCCTGCCCCGCAAGCACAAGGATCTGAGTTCAATCCCTGGTACCAAAAAAAAAAAAAAAAAAAAAGGTGGTACAGAGGGGAAGAATAAGGAAAATGAAGTAGTTTGGGAGCCCAAGGGATCCAATCATTCAGAGAAGAGGAGGAGCATGCCGGGGATTTAGCTCAGTGGTTTCGCCGCCTGCTGCGCAAGCGCAAGGACCAGAGTTCGATCCTCAGTACCAAAAACAAAAAATAAAACTGAACAAAAAACCCCCAAAAGAGGAGGAGCATGCAGAGGAGGCTCAAGGAAGGACCAGATTTTGTGGGTAAAGATCCAGGGAGGTTCTGTCACAAGGGATCAAGGGACATTGTGAAGTGCCACAGAACAGTCTCCTGGAAAAAGGATCAAGAAGCTAATGAGTTTGGTAACCAGGGGTATGCTGATACTGTTGTTTTGGGTGAAAGGGTATGAAGTATGTGGGCAAAGGCTGTGGAAGACATTTCTTAAAGCTTGGCTGCGAAGGGGCATCTGCACAAGGGAGGGGAGTGAGAGGCTTTAATGAGGAGCAGGGAGACCTTGATAGAGACAGGCTATTTAATGGAACATTTAGAGGAGAGGATAGTACCCTTGTGATAAAGGTGCACACTGCATTCATCTGCAAGTATGGCCTGAGCACCGGTCTTGGTCAAGGAGTCTAGGCAACAGAGCCGCATCTGAGCATCTGTTAAGGTCTAGTGACGTGACTTGCTGGGCTGTGACTCACCAATTTCTAACCTAACAAGACTACATTTATTTTCCTCTTCCTTCTCCTGCCCTTTTCCATCCTGAGGATTGAATCCAGGGCCTTGTACATGTAAGGACACTGTTCCTGAGCTACATACTACCAGCCCCAAGAATCCACATTTCTAACAAGTTTCCAGATGCTCCTGCTGCTGCTGGTTGGGAATCCTACTTTGAGAATTCTGCTTGAGGTGAACCTTGGCATGGGATACTGGAAAGCTGCTGAGTATTTCTAAGTCTCAGCTTATACATCTGGGAAAGGGCACAGTAAATGCACTTTGTGAGCTGAGGTAGGATTACATTCAGGCTTACTTCTAACATTACTGGAGCCAGGGAGGAGAATAAATGAATGCCCCCAAATCCAAATATTTAAATATTGAAAGACTGTGATTTAGACTAGCATAATGCCTGTAATTCCAGCACCCAGGAGACTGGGCAGGAGGATCAAGAGTTTGAGGCTTGTCTGGCCTACATACCAAGTTCAAGGCCAGCCTGGACTAGTGAGACCCTATCTCAAAACAACAACAACCCTGACCCCTACACAAAAAGAAAAAGTGTGACTCAGGCTAGCAAATGTGTCAATATGTTCTTTCCTCCTACCTTCAGAAGAATAGTGTCATCCGTCATCATAAACTGGTATACCAGATTTGAATTTTGAATTTGGGGACTCTGAAGTTCTGTTCTGCAATGTCATGCCACATGGAAAGCCAGCTTCAGCCTTGGTCTGCAGTCACCCTTTCTTTCCTATTTCTGGCTTCATCCTGCTCACCCAGAGATCTGTGTGCAGTTGTGTAGACATGCCCGTGCACCTGTCCAAACCCTGCCCAAGACTTTGCTGATGGCATGGCATACTTGAGCAGAAGTGCACTGGCGGGACCACCTGTCTAAGCAGGCAATTCCAGAGAAAGAGAGTAATAGGTTTGGATGAGCTGTTGCTTTAGCCCTGCAGACTTCTTGCCCATAAACAATAGTATGGCCAAGGTGTGACCCTTCATAGTGGTCGGCCCAGGACAAGCCCTTTCACCTGAGCCTATGGGCGGTATGGTCTCATGACAGGGTGCATGCAGAGCACAGAGCATAAGGCAGTGTTAACAATGCTACTGAGTCACCTCTGGGCCACTTGTTTGTTTTTTTTTGGTACCAGGGTTCAAACTTGGGACCTTGCGCTTGCGAGGTAGGTGCTGGAACCACTGAGCTAAATCCACAGCCCTGGGCCACTCCTTTTTAAAAGGACACACAAGGACTGGGGATTTAGCTCAGTGGCATCACGCCTGCCTTGCAAGCACAAAGTCCTGAGTTCGATCCCTTGTACCAAAAAAAACCCAACAAAAATCCCACAAGGTGTTTCACTGAGGCTGCTTCTACAGCCATGTCTTGAGGAGACCACAGGCCACCCAGCTGGAATGCAGGGGATTGAATGCACCTGGGTTCTTCAGGCCTCTGAAGTAACTGCCCCACTCCACTCTACAACCTGCAGCCTGGGGGACAGCCCTGTGCAGAGCTCACTTCTGCACCCTTAGCAGCTCTGGAACCATTTAAACTGGGCTAACATGCACCAGGATCTTTATTACAGTAGAACAGGTTTTGAGGCAGTGTGGAAAAGAGGAAGTGGGTGATAAGAGAGGAGTATTTTCTCCATTTATCTATTAAGGTAATGAGTTATGTTGATCAATTTCATACTATTGGACTTTAATTACATTTCTGGAGTAAACTTGACTTGATCATCTTTATTCCTTTTTTTTTTTGGTACTGGAACTCAGGACCTTGCACTTGCAAGGCAGGTGCAGTGCCACTAAGCTAAATCCCCAGCCCTTGATCATCTTTTTTAATCTGTTGAATTTGCATTTTTAATATCGCAGAGAGGTCACATTTCTGAGTGCAGCTGGCCTGGGACTTACTGTGGGTACCCTCTTTGGCTCTTCTGCTCCTTTCCTTTCTTTCTGTCTCCCTTCCCTTCCTTTCTTTCAGTAATGGAGATTGAACGCAGGGCTTTCACACTGAGCTACATCCCCAGCTTTTTTTTACTTTTTGAGATAGGGTCTTGCTAAATTGCCCAAGTTGCATTAGAACTTGCAATTCTCCTGCCTCAGCCTCCCAGAGTGCTGGAATCATAAGTGGGCCCCACTATGCCTGATTGCTTTTACTCATTTCACCTTCCATGCTTTGAGATAGGTGATACACAAAGGAAATGACATGTTCTTTGATACACAGTGGGCTGATCCAGTGTCCCTTTTAGCCTAGAAGTAGATCTTTGGCTGTCATTTCAATTTTACCTCTAGTTTTGGTCTATACAAGCTTTCTACTTCTTGAACCAATTTTGGGCTAGAAGGCTTAGAAATACTCTATGTTGATTTTTAAAAAATAAATATAACATTCTTTTCCATCTGAATGTGGAGAAAAATCTGTATCTGTTGCTTTGGGAGGTTCATCTGAGATTGCTAGAAAGCTTTGTTTAGCACACAGAGGCTGCACCAATGACAATCCTATAATGGAACCAAATAATTCTGAGGCAGTGAGTGACCAATAGCAATGTAGTGTGGACTCTTGAAAGGGTCTTCTGATTTCTGGA